CGCAAATGGCTACCATATTGAAAAATATACTATTTTTGTATGATAATTATGGGTTTTGTATTTTATTTTAATAGAAGTTGATGTTGCTTTTGCAATTATCCATCAATTTTTTAAAATTAAACACTATCTACAGATTTGCATCGAAGCGTTTCTTATGATAGTGATTTTAATCACTGTCAGATTAAATCTATACTGGACCCTACTATGCAATGTCTCTACTATGCCGCGACCCCACTGTGCTACCGTTTTTTTTTTACTTAAAACTTCCATAACTTTTTTAAAAATGACCAAATCAATATAATTTTTTTTTATATAAATACGTGAGGTACTTACCTATCATTTTGCATATTTTTTTAAAAATCTGATCCTTTACCTGCCCACAGGGGGGGATTCAAAATGACAACTTTTTCGACTTAAATTTTGAAAGTGTTGTGGAAATACTGACACTTTTATATATATCTAAAATTAAAGCTTATGTTATATACTTTATTATGGAAAAAAAAAATTTCAAACTCCATTTTTTCTTCATGGTAAAAATAGCTACCGTATGCTATTTTTGTATTAAATTTTTTGATTATGTATTTTATATATTTAAATACCTTACAAAAGTTTTTGAGTTAGAAAAAAATTTTAAAATCATTTAATTTCTATCTCATTTAAATTCAATAGCTTTAATAAATATCAAGAACCCCATCACTGTATTCCCCCCTCGTTTGAAGAAATTTCTTATTCATATTAAAGATTTTTTTACTATCTGATTTTTTTTTATAGCTCTCATTTATTTTCTCATCTCTCACTTGACCAACTTTTTTTTAACGATACATCAAATGATTACAAATATTATCCAATTAAAGATATTACCCTCAAAAATTTGAAAAATGTCCACTTTATCTATAATTTTCATAAAATTTTCTAATTAATAATATAAATTTCAAACTCGAAGTTGCGCTAAAAGTTATGGTAACAAATTAAATTTTTTTTTTTTTATAAACTTTCAAAAAATCAACTTTAAAATACCAAAAAATAGGTTAAAGATGATATTTTTCCCTGATTATTTTTAAAATATTAAAAATCAAAATCTATAATAATTTAAAAACAATTTTTTTGTGTTTTTAATTATTTTTTTATCGTGATAAATAATTTCAAAAGAAATATTGATAATTTCTATGTAACTCTTGGTGTTTAAATAGATTGAAATATTCAGAACTATTTTTTTTATAGTTTTTAACTAATTAGTAATAATATCAAAAATTATTGGTGATGCAAAACATATAATTGCTGATTTGAAATTAGCACGAAAAATTGATTAATAAAAGTATATTTTTTATTCTGATGAAAATTGTTTGCAGACGATTTATTCATAGTTAACAACAAATTATTATCTAAAAAGTTCTGTGTCAATCCCTTCAATTTTTATACACGTTTGCCATAAAAGTAATAACTACTTCATAATTTTTTATAATTTACGAAAAAATTACAATACTAAATTATTAAATATATATTTCATACTACGTTGAATTGCTTTAATAGATATTTATTCATAAATTTGACTTATAAATCAACTACTAATTAGGAATAATGACAGAAATAGGAGTTAATTTTGCTTTTAGAATAATCAACCAATTTTTTAAAATTAAAGACCATCAACAGATTTGCATCGTAGCTTTTTTATGATAGTGATTTTAATTTAATAATTTGTTGTAATTAAATTTTATAATTTAAACATTATTAATAATGCTATTATAAATCAAATGCTTATAGATTTTACTTTTTATAATCTTTATAGTAAAATTAAGTTATTTCAAACTATGAGATGACAATTTTAGAAAAAATATATTACTTATTAAATAATTTTTTCTGATTATTATTTAAATTTAAGTTAAAATTGAAGTCAACAATTATAAGTTGCTGAATTTTCAGTATTTTTACTAAGATTATAATTAAAAAAAACTGATTTTGTGGTTGATAAAAATTTTGTTAATGAAAGAAATAATGTTTTAATAATTTGGAGAAATTAATATAGTTAATGATAGATTTTTATTGAAATGATAAAATTATTTATTTATTTTTAATTTCGTTAAAATATTAAATTATGTATATAAAAATTTATAACATTCTTTATTTTTTAAATTAAAAAAATACTTCAGATTAAAAAAAAATATTAATATTCTTAAATTTTTTTAGGCATTTATCAAGAAATTGGAATATTAAGAAAAAATTAAATCAATTAACTTCCAAGAAAAAAACAAAAAATTTACTATTATCTCAAAGAATATTGAAGAATCGCAAGAAAAAAGAAACTAAGAAAACAGAAGATACTTCTAATAAATTATATCAAATGTGGGTAATGAAAAAGGGTGTAATAAAATAAATATTATTGTTTAGAAGTGTTGTAAACCTGTAAAAATGTATTGTTGGCGGCTAATCTAAAACTTATCTCTTTGTTGAAAAATTTATCCAGATTTATTAGATTTAAAATTCATTTTTGTTGATATATCTTATGCAAACTTGTGTTATTTTAATGTTTTATCACATTGACCTGTATAGCTACAAAATGGCATTTTCTGTGGTAATCCATCAAACATTAAAGAGTTTGTTTGGACACTCACAGTATGATGGTTTTTCTGTTTATCAATGTTCAACTAATCCTACTAAATGTAAATTTTTTTCTATTATTATATCAGAAACATATATGTTTATAATCATATCACTACTACTACAGAATGCGGGCAAATTAAACATAGAGTAATTTTAAACTACCACTCTTGATTTCTATGATTAAAAAAAAATTATTCTCTGGTAAATAGTTGCAAAATTATAGTATTTGGAAATCTTGGTATTATTATTTTTACATTATAGCAATCTATTAATTAGTTGAAGATTTTTAAATAGATAAAATTAGAAATTAAATTTAAACATTATGCAAATAGTATCATAATAAAAATGTATTTTTTAGCTTCAAAATTAAATAATAATTAATTTTTTTAATGAGTTAAATTTCTAGATAATTAAAATAAAAATGAATGTTTAAACTAAATTGTTCTATAGATTTAATCTGATAATTTTTATTGTAACAAAAATGTGTAATTCTCTTAAAGTTAATTACATATTTATTTGCAAATAAATACCTTAATTGTAATGAGTTTTAATAATTTTTTTAGAAGATACAAGTGGACTCCAAATGAAGATAATATATTAATTTTTTGGAAAGTTGGTACGTTTTTAATCAAACAGGTTCAGAGTCATGCATTTATTTCATATGGAATTAAAGATGTCATGAAATCTGTGTTTGGAAAGGTAATTTTTAATTACTAAATACTGGTAGAATAGAGTAGTAATTAACCTAATTTATAATTTAATAACAAAAAGTATTTTTCCCATTAAAAATAATAAAAAAAAAGGTTGTAATATTAAATACCATTTGACATATATAACTATTAATGAATTTGTCAACATAGTTTCAAAAGTTTTAATTAGTGAGCTAAATAAAATAATTTATTTCCCTAACATAGAAATTAAATTTTTCTATATTCATCATATGCAGAATAAAAATATATCACTTATAATATACAGGGTGTTCAGTAAGTCAGGAAACGGGTATCTATTATTCTCATTGTTTGTAACAATGAGAACAATAGAAACCCATTTCCTGACTTACTGAACACCTGTATAACTTATATTAAGACAATAATATATGGATATTATTAGAAGAACAACTAAAGACATAAAATATCTTTTTAGTTTGATAAAGATACTTATTTATTTTATATTAAATAGATTTTAATATTCTTAAATTTAGTAAGTTTTAATTTATTTTTTTAAATTAAATTTTAGTTACTTTTCATTACATAAGTGTTTCCACTGAAGTATTGTTGCTATTATTGTTATAATAAATAAATATAGTTTATAAAAACTAAAAAAACACGCTTTTAAAGCACATCGAACTAAAAAGTTAAAAATAATTTTTAAAATAATTATGAACAAAAAATACTTGTATTATTGTGATAAAAGCATCGGGCGCTCAATATACGAAAAATATGGCACAAGTCACCCATGCTTTTATCACAATAATACTAGTATTTTTTGTTCATAATTATTTTAAAAATTATTTTTAACTTTTTAGTTCGATGTACTTTAAAAGCGTGTTTTTTTAGTTTTTTAAACTATATTTATTTNCGTGTTTTTTTAATTTTTTAAACTATATTTATTTTTCACTTTTTAGTTTCATGTTACGATAGTAGTTATTATCAATATCATGGTTGTAACGGGTAACGGGAAATCAGGGTTCGATTCCGGGGAGGGAGTCTGAGAAACGGCTCCCACATCCAAGGAAAGCAGCAGGCGCGTAAATTACCCACTCCCGGAACATGGAGGTAGTGACGAAAAATGACGATACTGGATTCATCCTTTGTAATCGGAATGAATGAGTTCTATATCTCTAAATAAGAATAAAGTGTGTTAATATATATTTTTAATAGTAATTAGAATATATATATATATGTAGAGCGACTTTAGTACGTAAACGTATCATGCACTAGGTATAGCCGTGTTTTGTGGGCGGGCGGGTCGGACTAACGTTATACCTGAGGTATAAACGGCGGTAGGAATATATACATAAGCCGTATGCACGTGGATGATAATAGTCAGTCAAAATAAAAATTTGTTTATATATATATATAATATAGATGACACGCACGTGTGTACGGGTACGATAACCAAAAATAAATTTATACAGGAATAGTATTGCCGGTGTGTGATGAGAGAGGCGCGGGGTGGGGTGAATGTGTTATGACAGTCTAGTCTAGACAACGGAATATGCGATAACTCGTGGCGTTTGGAGAGTTATATACATACATACATACAGGCATACATACAGGTGAAACTAATATAAGCGTGTTAATAGCATATGTGCATAAAAAGTGTAATTGTGGAGCAGGGGCGCCTGAACTATTTTTTACATCGGGGAGGCAAAAATTTAATGATTAAAACTCTATCCCCTTGATTGTTATTAATCTAAAAAAGCGGGTTAAGTTATTTTTTTGGTGGATTTTAGTGATCATATGAAAAAAATTCGGTAATTTATAAATTTTACTCTTAATAATACATATTATTTTTATATTATTAATAAGTAATGATAATATAATATAGTTTATAGCTTAATTACAATTTTTTTTATTTATTACAATAGATAAAAAAGTGAAAAAAATGTATAAAGTTACCGATTTTAAAAATAGTTATTTTTGGAGATTTTGCCTTATTTACAGGGAACGAAGAAAATTTTTTTAATTTTTAAGGGTAATGTCTTCAACTAGATACAATTTTAGAAACAAACAAAAAAAAAACACATCATAGTAAATGTACTTTCTTAACTTCACATCAAAGCTAAAAATTTACCTTATCATTAACTTTAAAAACTGTTTATTTCAATTTATGAAACATTCAATATCAAACTGTTTTAGCAGAATAACTTTACTTTAATTAAAAATTAAAATTTAGAAATATATAAATGAAATACCGAAAAAAAAAAACAAAGTTAATCTTAGTGAATATTTTATTTTAGAAATAAAATTCTCAAAACATAATATTGGGATACTCTTAAAATCTGAAATCAATAATAAACAATTTTTTTTTAATGAAATTATTAAAAAACATAATTTTAACTTAACCTAAATAATAATAATTAATTATATTTTTTATCAGATTCTATTGGGGGTTATAATGATACTTTTGAACAAGGGGACAACTTCCCTTCTGCCCCCTGATTCCAGCTGATGTAGAGGTTTGGAGGTTTGGGCATTTGGTCAATTGGTGAGCATCTAAATTCTATTGAGATCTTAGAGTCCATGGGTTAAGAGCAATGAAGACAAGTAGATATAAAAAAAAGAAAAGGTGTTACTCTTTATTGAGGTTTAATAATGTAATTAACTAGCACTATAAAAATGACACTGAGGTATTCTTGTGGCATCCTTTCTGACTCCCAGTCAAAGTGTCAGAATAAATTAATTATTGATGATTATTTAAAGAAGATACTTCTCCGAGGTATTCTTGCAGTGGCCTGAGGTCTCCTGTCCGATACTCAGTCGATGTGATTATCTTAAAAATGGTGGATATAAATGTGTAGATCTATTGCTTTATTGTTCTTTACTCAGATTCTTAATTCAAAATAGGCATGATAATTCAAATTGACTTACCTGTATTTAAATTAATACTCATTAATTTGAAGTAACTTGGAGTGCTGTTGAGTATGCATAAAAATATCTAATTGAAAATCTCGTTTAAATATACTAATATTCACGCCAATAAAAATATTAAGGATATATCTTGTTGAAGATTTTTTTTATGTTCAATCTTCATACCTTCTTAGGGTGTCAATTTTAATTTCACAAATGGCAACCCCCCTTATTAACTAGTTAATTTAATAGATAATGATCTATTAAAGAAAATTACTGGTTAATAACAATTTTTAGACCAGTATTTTAGAAGCTATTGACTTATTTATATTTAAGTGAGAGGAAGAGTACAGCCATAAATTTTTAGTTATAAAAATAACTCTTTACCTTCAGTTATTACTTTAAATTGTTAATAACTTCTGAAATACTGGTCCAAAAATTGTTATCGGCCTGACATTTTCTTAATTAGATCATTATCAATTAAATAAGGTAGTAAATTAGGGGGGTTGCCATTTAAGAAATTAAAGTTGACACCCTTAGAAGGTATGAGGAATGAATAAAAAAAATCTTTATCTAAAATCCACTAACTTCATTTTTTTTTTTGAACTGATAGTATATAACATCAGCTTTATTTTAATACATGTTTAAAAGTTGAAAGTGTTAAAAATAAAAAAAATCTTTATAACTGAAAAATTGAGAAAGACATTAAAATAAAAGAAACTAATAAAATATTAAGTGATTTATGATAAGTGAACCACCCTGCTATATATGTTTAAAAAGTCCTGTCTTTCTAGAGAAATTAAATATTTCATTGAGTTTTAGGTTTTTTATATTTTCTTTTTCAGGAAAATATTGTCATTTTTGATTGTCTTGTTTGGGTACCAAAAAATAACTCTATATTTTCCTGTGTTGTTTTCTCCAGTTCTTGTCCAACATAGGTGTTTTCTGTACCTTTCTTCCCTAAAAAGTCTGCTTTTTTATTACCAGTTACACCACTGTGGCTTATTATCCATATTAGTATAATTTTATTGAATACTGATAGTGATTCTAAAGTTTCCCTGCGTTCAAAGACTAGCTTTGAAGTAATTTAAATATTGCTAAGTGCCTTTAAAGCAGCTTGACTATCACTTAGAATAGTTATGTTTCTTTTCTTGAAAACTAGTAGGTTTTGGGCCCCTATTAGTATTGTCATTTTTTCTGCATGGAATACAGAGGATGTTGTGCCCATTGACATGCTGACATTTATGAAAGGTTTTAAACACCAAAAACCAGCATCTACCTTTATTTTTATATGATTTATTGGAACCTCCTATATAGATTAAAAACCTTTCTTTTCTAGTCAGATGTTTAGATTCTATTACCTTCTTGTTAAGATGGTTTTGTAACTAATAGTATTAAAATAATTGTTTAGTTTTATCGTTTGAAAAGTGTTGACAACTATTTAAGAAGAATACGTTATCTCATGAAAAACCCATTAATTGAAAGTAGAGTCCAACATTTATATGAAAGCCTTAAAACTGATGAGGAAGTTAAAGACATGTTTAAAGTAAGTTAACTTAAAGATCATATGTTTAACAAATGTTAACTAAGCAATATTGTTTAGAATGATATTCAAAAACAAAAAGAATTATACATGTCAAAAAAATTTAGAGCCATGAGAGAATTAATTGTTATGAACATAAAAAAACTTGTTATTTTTCTGCGTGAACGTGGTATTTCAATTGAAACCAGAACATTACTGTTACAAAAAAAAAGGCAAATAACTGAAAAACCTATTGATGAAAAACCTGAAAACTTTTTAATTGACTCAGATATTCACAGTATACATGAATCAATAACTAGTTTACGAGATATTAGTCAAGAATATGACTATTCATTCTCTTTACACGATATTAATTTATCAGTAATCAACTCTTTAATTCATGTAAGTATTTATATAGGTGTAAACTAACTGCAGAATTAATATTTTACTCACTATATACATTTATTTATGTTTTTTTTTTTTAAGAGCTCACTAAGCAATCAAAGCAGTGATCCAAAAATTTCACTAGGTTACTTACTCGTTTTTAAACAATATTCTGAAGAAATATTAAAGCAAGCATTTGATATCATTAAAGATGACAATTTGATAACATGTAGTCAATATCATAAAAAATCTCTTCAAGTTTTACTTTCCACTTCTCATGTTATACAATCAAAAACTTATGAATATGCTTCTAAGTAAGTATCATCTTATAACATAAAATTAAAAAATATTTTTACATAATATCCTTAAAAAACTAAATTTTAGATTCTATTCAATAATTGTGGGAAAAACAGATACTGGTCGTTTCAAAGAAGCTTTTTTAACTTACGAATGGATTAAAAATGATTTATTTGAAAGAAAAATATTATTGTTGTCTCCATCATGTGGATTTTGTACATTATTAACTAGTTTATGTGCTTGTGATTTTGTTGATATTTGTATTGAGTTTGATAAAAAGGTAAATAATATTATTATTTTTAATATATGTATTTTTTTAATGAAAACTCTCATTATAATACACTTAATTACATTTTAAGAACTTTTTGTACTTATTTTAAATTGTGCATATTTATTCCTTTTTCATTAATAAGGAATATTGTTTGGTGGTTATTTGTAGTTTCTTGAATATATGTCTGATGAAACTTCAGATAATGGATCAAACTGTCTAAAAAATACTTTGAAACGGTAAAGTATTACTCACAAAATTAATAAGTAGGTGAAAACCTACAAAATAACATAACTCGAAAAAATTTGGGTTATAGAATGTTTATGAAAATGTGTTTTGCTTTCAATTAGTTTTTTGATATCGATACCAAATATAAGGGCATATTTGGAATCTACCATTTATATTTTATTTCTACCATCAATATTTTAGCTACACTTTGAGTATTTTTAAAATTATTGTTTGTTTTTACATGTAAAATATTAATTAAAAACAAAAAAATTTCAATCTTCTCCTTCTTCTTCCTCTAGCTCTGTTTTAATTTATCATGTAAAGTATTAAGTGATATTTGAAATCAAATTCAGTCTTGTTACAAAATATTATATTTATCATTAATTTAATANAAAACAGAGCTAGAGGAAGAATAAATTAAAACAATTTATCATGTAAAGTATTAAGTGATATTTGAAATCAAATTCAGTCTTGTTACAAAATATTATATTTATCATTAATTTAATATCTTCTTCTTCTTCCACGCCTTAATCTCAACTACTTGGGGTCGGCCACCTTTATCCTAAACTTCCACTTGACACGATCTCCCACATCATCTACGCTGACATCAGCTGTCCTCATATCGCATTCAATAGCATCCTGCCATCTCATTTTTGGTCTTCCTCTACCTCTTCTTCTTCAACAACATTCATTTCTATAACTGTTCTTACAGCTTCCGATTCTTCTCACCTCATAACATGACCAAACTATCTAAGTCTATTTTCTCTCATCTTATCCATGATTGACGCTACACTTATACTTCCTCTTATATGCTCGTTCCTTATTCTATTTTTCCTAGTCACTCCACTCATCCATCTAAGCATTCTCATTTCTTCTACACTCATTCTCTGCTCTACTTTCTTATCAACCGCCCAAACACTCCGAACCATACATCATAGCTGGCCTCACTACAGTCTTGTAGAATTTACTTTCATCCTCATTGGAATTCTTTTATCGCATAAGATGCCAAGCACTTCTCTCCACTTCAACCAACCGCACTTAATTCTGTGTCATAATAAAATATGTGTCATCACTATAGAAAATAAGTAAGAGGCTTAAAGCAGTCTTGATGCACTCCTACTCTTACCCGAAAATCTTCTGATACTCCTCCTACGCTTTTTTACCTTGGTACAAGTGCCATCATACATACCTTCTATTATATTAATGCACCTTCTTGGGACTCATTTTCTCATTAATGCCCACTTTAAAACCTTTCCGGTACTCTATCATATGCTTTCTCAAAATCTATAAATACCATACACAGATTTTTTTTCTTTTCCCTAAATTTTTCTATTAGTTGCCTCACACAAAATACTGGTTCTATTGTTGACTTACCAGGCATAAATCCTAACTGGTTTTTAGATACCGATGTCTCATTTCTTATTCTCTTATCTATTACCTTTTCCCAAATTTTCATACTATGACTCATAAGCTTTATGTCTCTATAATTTTTACACTTCTGTATGTCTCCTTTACCTTTAAATATCGGCACTACAATACTATTCCTTCATTTGTAATTTTTTGAAAAAACAAAAAAATTTCAATATCCCTTGATATTAGAGAAAAACAAAGGGTATATTCAGAATCTGTGTTAAACTTATTGAAAACAAAAAAAAAATATTGTTAAACATTCTATCACCCAAATTTTGTCAAACTGTGTAATTGTCTTTAATTAAGTTTTTAATTTCTTAATAATTACATTTTATAATAATTTTAGTATGCGCAGTCGTCATTTTGATTTGTTAACTGATAGTAATGATACAATTGAGTACATAAAAATTATTACATCTATAACAAAACAGTTAAAAAATTATCAAGTAAGTAGAGTATTTAAGATACTTTCATGCACATGTAGTAAGTACATTTAAATAAAATTAACTTAAATATTTTGCAATGAAACTTTAACAATATTTTAATTGTATTACATTTTAGTAGTAAATACAACCAATTATTTTATATGCATTAGTAATTGACAGTTAAAATTTAATTTAAATAGAAATTTATATATTTGTATATTATTAAAACATTAATCATACATTCCATCCTAAAAATGAATAAATTTTATTAACCATATAAATAATTGAAGGCACTGGTGTTAACCAGATGTGTCTACTTTTAAAAAAATTTTAAGACATAAAAACATTAATTTGTTTTACACTAAAATACAGCAAAAAAGAAAGGTTTTTTCTTTTTTAAAGCAGAAATCTATTTAGGTAATTAATATTTAATTTCAAATTCAACAGAGTATTCTAAAAAGCGATTTTTATTTATCCACTTTAATATTCATATTGTTTGTTTTTTGGCTTACGATGAGGATGTTGATTTGACACTAGCCCAATTACAGTTGAATTGTGATGTTTACTAGGGAGAAGGTTAAGTGCAGTGGTTTTTAATTGCCTTTTGTACTATACATATGTTACTTTTTATTACTGTAAAAATTTATGTATGGTGACCTATCTTCAACCTACTACGCAGCAAATGCAACTTAACACTATAGTTAATCAATTACTAGTGTGTCCACTGCATGTATCACACTCAAATATATTATTTCTATCAACTAAAATTATATACAAAAAGAGAAATTAATTAATAATAATTAAAATTTTTACTTAGCTATGTTTCTCCCAAAGAAAGAGTAATAAAAATGCCTATGACATGAGAGAGGTACTAAGACCCTAAAACTAAATTTTACAGGAGAAGGAAAAAAACCGTTTATGTAAACTATGTAGACTCAGTTAGGGAATAATGGGTCTATACCCGGCCACTATTGACAGCTATATTCATTTCCAAAATATGGAATTATATAGATTTTATTATATTACCCTCCCCTCCTATTATAAAATCTGGCTTAGCTACTGTGAGGACTTATGACAAATAATTTTTTGTTTTCAACTTATTTTCTTCTACAAAGTGTAATTAATTCAGTTTTCTCATCATATTATTGGATATGTATTTACTACCTTTTCCATGATAAAATAAAAAACTAAATTTTTATACTAAGTATCTTCCATCAATTTAGGTATTAATCATTATATTTTTATTATATAATTAATTATTACATTATTGATTCAGATAAATAAAAAGATAACTAGTTTGAATTTTGACTTTAGGTTGTTTGTAGATTAAAAAACAATATTCCAAATATTGAAAATGATATGAATCCTGTATTTGAGGAAATTTTAAGGTAAACGTTTAAAAAAAATGGAATACATTTTGTATGAAACTTTTAAATAATAATTTTTGTTATTTACATTATAATATAAAGATTAATGGAAAAATTCTTGAAAATTCACTCAATAGTTTATTCTAGCAAAGAAAAGTTTTAAATTTAATTAATTTATCTTTTAAGTATAACTTTAGACTGTCTAAACTTACAAAGTGACTCATTTTTTTAAAATCTTATTACATTAAAAATGTAATGAGGTTGAATCTCTTACAAAAATTTTTTTATTAGTTTTTAAATAAATATTATGAAAATATAATTGCTATATTTATAAAAATTATTCCAGTACTTTTAATATAGAATAAAAATTGAAATTAATATTAATTTATTATTTTTAGTTATCCAATATTTAATCCAAAATTAGAATGTCTCAGTAAGTTAAATGAGTTATGTCAAAATTTGCTTGAATTTTGTAAAAGCAAAGAACATTGTGGTGCAACACACAAAGATATTAAAGTAAGACAAAATTATAAAAAAAACTTTAGATAATTTTATTTTTACTTAAATATAACATTCATTTAGGAATATTTCAATAGTATTTCTTTGTTTTTACTCAAAATATCATTAAATGATTTAATGGATTACAATTTTATATTGAGAGCTGGTATTGAACTTCCAACATATGTACATTATAGTTATGCAGATGTTTGGTTAATAAAATTACCTAATACTTCCGTTTGGAACATTAATGAAGAAATTGAAAAAGAAGAGTTTGTTAATGATAGGTATGTATTTTTTTCTACTTATATACAATAGACTAATGTATATTATTATTCATTAGAATCAAAGATATAAATGGTCCTCCATTAAAAAAAATGAAAGAAGAAATTTCAAAATCTAAAGAGTAATTAAATTTTATTAGTAAATTATTTAATATATATATATATATAATCTTGTATCACATGTTTATTTTTCAAGTAGAAGTGAAGAATTTAGTTTAATCAAGGTACGACCTTGGACAAGATTAGATTTAACAATAAACCAAAAAGTATTAGAAAAATTTTTAAATTCTGTTCTATCAAAAATTGTTAAGAAACCAGGCATTTTTTTAAAAAACCTGAAAAAAGAATATAATCCAATTATCCAACCGTTACATGTTAGAGAACTTGTTGAAGTGAGAATTATATTTATATTTTTTTATCTATAATATATATTATAAAAGTCATAATTGTATAGATGCTCGAAGCCATGAAATGTGTTAAAATGATTTCTATTAAAAATGTGTTAAAACCATCATGTTTTTCTGAACTTTGGCCATCTAACCACAACTTATCATTTTGTAAGTAGAATAAGTTTACTTATTAAAGAGGATTAATCATCTTTTTAATTATCTTATTTGATCATTTCTATTTTTAATCATATAAGCTATGATACTAGCTACAAGAAAACTCATCTTTACATACATACTATAAGAACTTCATATTTTATAGGAATGCTTTTATATATTAACCATTGTACCTCTAATATTTCTAAGCATTACATTTTTTTTCTTAGGTGATGCACTAGGTTTAGAAGATGAATCTTCAATTATGATAGAGCCTACATTAGATTGTGATCTAAGGTTTGGATATTGTTCTAGTAGATTTACTTTTGATATTGAGTAACTTTTTGTAATACTACCAAAATACTTTACTTTTATTAAAACAATAAAATAGTTTCCTTTTTTTAATTGTAATAATTGTTACATTAAACAAACAACTGAATATTCTTTTTTTTATATGTTAGATATTTCATAACTTTTTTTTATTAATTTTTTACTTAGATTAAAAGTTTTTTATTTTTATGAAATATCCTATTGTATGTAAATATACTGTAACATTACACCAATAAAATAAGAAAATAGTTACAAAAAATTAATACTTTAATTAGCATCACTGAATAAAATATTAATTAAATTTAAAATTATTTATATACAAATTTGTATGTATTGGTATGACCAAACAATAAATTACATTTCTTTATTTTCTGGAATATTTTCATTTGAATTATTTTCTATTTCATTATAAATTTTCATAAATTCATTTAGCTCATCAATAGCTTCGTTTATCCTGCAAATCAATAAAACAAATTAAGGTTTTATTAAAATATAAATATTTTTAATTTATAAAACTTTTTGGATTTTTAGACTACATTAAAAGCATATATTTTTATTATTTATATATAATGATAAAAATAATTTTCATTAATTTTTAAATTTATAACAATCTTTAAGATAAATACTTATTGAGTTATAAACATTTTAATACATTAAACGGAAATGTAATATTCTCCCTGATAATTATTTAACGTTTTTAATTAGTTTTAATGAAGTGATTATGTATTAATAAATATTCAGCCATAGAAGATTATCAACTTTTTAATTTGTAATGTTATTAGGTCAACTTCAAATTCATTATTTAAATTGTATAAACTGGTAAAATGTGACAATTGGCTAGGGTAATAAGATCACTAAGGCTATATTAGGCAGCATTTTTTGGTTAGGGCGTCAGTATGTGTTTAAAGCTTATGATAATAACATTGTTCCCGAAATACATATAGGACAGTTTTTGTTATTTTATATCACTTTTTGATTTGAATATTTTTAATATTAATATTAGTTAAATTTTAAATAATATTAGTCATAAGTAATCAATTCTTATTATGTAAAAAGTTTGCTAGATAATTTTAACTCTATACCATTGTATTAAATTATAATATAATTTAATATAATACATTGATGTTTAAACTTATTAAATAATAAAATTTCAAGTTTCTATCAACCATCTAGTTAAGATACAATATCCAAGTTCATAATGATAAACACAGGTATTTTATTTATTAAATTAACAATTATATATTTTTAAATTTATATAAAAAAAAATATTTAATAGAATATATAACGACTGCCCCAACGAAAAAGGTCGTAACTCGATTTTTACTTTTTTTATAAGTAGTATGTCTTAAAAAACCCTGAAGTCATAATTGTTTTAAAAACTGAATATTGTAATAATTACGATATCCTTCATTCTACCAGTGATGTTATTTTGAGAAATGTACGTTTAAAAATAAAATAAGAATATGAATTGCAATGCTTGTTTTATTCATACTGAAAAGTTAGAAAAAAACGAGTTACGACCTTTTTCCTTGGGGCAGTCGATAAGATATATTGCGTAGTCATATAAAATATATCTACAATATTAAATAACAACTAATTTTTTCATTTTTTTATTGTTAATAGTCAAGTTGGAATATTCAAATTAATTAAAATTGAATTACTTAGTCTTAAATTCAACAAAATTATTATATAAATACATGGTTTTAAATAATCATGTTCTTATAGTTTAGCAGGAAGAATTTTTCCACTACATGTGCCAAAACCAATTCTATATCCATCTCCTTGGCAGTAGCCAGAAAGAATAACTTCATCCCCATCATTGAAAAATAGAAGTTCATCATTCTCAAGATTTATGACTCTCTGACCACCTCTTGTTCTTTCAAACAAACATCCACACTCTTTGTCATTAGGACCACTAATTGTTCCTGATGACAGTAGATCACCTGGTTGTAAATTACAACCATTAATTGTATGATGAGCTATTTGTTGCAAAGGAGTCCAATATAAATTGTTGTAATTAGTATCACAAATTCTATGCATTGATCCATTAAGACATACACTTGCATTAAGATTAATATTAAAATTATACTTGTTATCATGTTGTAAATATTTCATCGGCATAGGTTCTTGCTTTAAGTTATCAACTTTAAAATCTTCTAAAGCTTCCATTGTAACTACCCAAGGAGATATACTTGTTGCAAAACTTTTTGATAAGAATGGTCCAAGTGGTATGGACTCTCTCAATTGAATATCTCTTGCACTCCAGTCATTTAACATTACCATTCCGAAAATATAGTCTGATGCTCTTGACGTTGGTATTGATTCTGATAAAGAATTTAAAGTACCACCCACAAAAAAGGCCATTTCCAGTTCATAATCAAGCATTTCAGTAGGACCAAAATGCAATTTACCATTTTTTAAATACTGACCCTTAGGACGAGTAATAGGTGTACCTGATATTATAACAGATGATGAACGACCATTGTAACCGATTGGCATATGTTTCCAGTTATCAGCTAAAGGTTTTTGAGGTGTCATTATAGTTCCACAGTTGTAAGCATGATGGTAACATGAAAAAAAATCTGTATAATTGCTAATTGAAACAGGCAAATGCATGTTAACTTCATTTTGATTCCAAAATACTCCTTTATTAAAATTATCAGCTTTTTCAATACTTAAATAAGACTGAATTGATTTTCTAGCTTGTGTCCATGTACTTTTACTTGAAGCCATTAAACTATGTAATGAAGATTGTTGAAATAGTTCATACAGAGGATGATTAAATACATTAGTTGTATTTTTTAAATCTAATATTTTATTACCAATTGCAACACCTATTCGATGGGTAGGATCATCTTGAGTAGAAAACACTCCATATGGTAAATTTTCAATTGGAAAGTGTGATTCTTGTGTATAAGGTACATAACTTTTTAGAGGCATTTTGAAATTAATGAAATAAAAATCTTCCTTTGCTTTTAAATGACTAATTAAGACTAAACACTCAGTAATTTAAAAGTATTCCGTGTAACATTTATTATCACTAAATTACATAACATAACCTTGGTACAGAAAAAAAAGTGTTTAAGGTTAAAATGGTATAATTATATATCTAATCATTTGATGTGAATATCCGAAGAACATTACTACAGTAAAAAAGTACTTTTACCTCACTCAAGCGACTATTACATTTACATATTGAAATTAATCAATATTTTAATACATATAAAAAATAGTGGTTTGTTGAAGTTACTTAATTTTTTTTTTAAGTTTACAGCAGTATTTATATTAAACTGCAATACTTATCGGGACTTTTTCACTCCAATAAATTTATGTAAAGAATCATAAAAAATGTGAAAATAATATTGATTGATTAGTGAATGATTTATTTTCTTGCTTATTCAAAATTTTTTATCTACAGATAAATAATGAGATTATATAACAAAATTACTCATCAATATTACTTTATTCATGTTTATAAATACATGAAATAGTAGTAAAAATAGTTTTTAGAATTTCAGTAATTTTTTCAATTCTATAGTAATCATAAAAATAAAAGGTATGGTCCTAGTTAATGTTAAAAGAAGCTACATGTAAAAAGTAATAATGGATTTATAACAAATTGACTAAATAGAAATTAGTACATTATTTTTTTTTTAAGAAAATAAATAAATTTTAAGTAATTACTTACAATTTAATATCTTTTCCAAATTCTTCCAAATATTCAACCTTACGTTGTGCGTAAATAACTTGTTGCTCTGCTTCAATTGAGTCCATGTCTAAAATTTTATCAATTAATTCAACCACGGCATTTATATCCATTGGATCATCACTCATTCTGATTTCAATCAATTGAAGTAAAAGACGACTACTCTTTTGCACATTCTACATGCAATTTCAAAATAAAGAAACAATTACTTGAGAAATTAAGCTATTGAAATAAATCATTTATCAATAACTATTAATTAATAAAAAACATAAATACAAACATTTAATTTTTTCACTTCATTCCATAAAATTTCAGAAGCTCGTTCAACATTATCTAAAATCTAAATAATAAAAATTAACATATATTACACTCATGTTGTACCTAAAAACTATAAAAATGTAGTAATTGTTCATACTTTCCAAACAAATCTAGCATATTTTATAGTCAACAAAACTGAAGTCAATGAAGAGTCTGCTGTGCTAATATAGTGTTCATACAGTTCGCAAACTCTTTCTTTACAGCCCCTTCTTCTTTCCAAATTAATTCTTCTTTGTATAATCATCATTTTATGTGGAGCAACACTATCTAGCATATCTAATATTTGTGCTGCTTTATCATAATTTCCTATTGTAAAAATTATTAATTTAATTTAATTATTTTAAAATATTGATAAAATCTTAACATATTATTGAACAGTGATGTGAATAAAAAGTTAAGATAAAGTGGGGTAAATATATACACTTTTTTTTTTAGCTGAGAAAGTATTAATTATGCTATGATGTTTTTTTTTATTTTTATTTTTTTGTGTCTGTTATCACTTTTTCAGCATAAGAATTCGCACAATTTAAAAATGTATGGACCAATACAATTTTTTTAAAATAAATACTATTTATATATCTCTTTCATTCGACATACTTTTTTGAATTTGGACCATTTCTCTTTATACAGGGGTGGTTTAAAACTTAATAATGTGTACATAAAGTAGAACTTTTTTAACTAATTTTCAATTAAAATATATTTATTGATTATTCATACATAACCTAATAATAATCAAACATAATTATTTGTTATATAAATTGGAAGGATTTTGTTATTATTTAGGCCATATGCGAAATTCTAATTGTAGATTTGAAATTGGCATATAAATGGGTTTAGAAAAGTATATTTTGGTCTTGAATGAAAATTCCTTGTAGACCAGTAAATTTATTATTAAATAACAAACATATTTTTTTTTTTTTATGTGAAATATTGCATCAAGGTCTTCAACTTTTATATACATTTGCCATAATAATAATAATTACTTTATAATTTTTTATAAATTCTCCGTAAAAATTACAGTACTAAATTATTAAATATCAATTTCATACTATATTCAATTGCTATAAAAAATTTTATTCGTATATTACACTTATAAATCATAAAACTTTTAATCAGGATATAAATAAGGAAATAAGAGATTATGATACTTTTGAAATAATCCATCAATTTTTTAAAATTAAACACTACTACAGATTTGCATCAAAGCATTTTTTCTTATAATTATAAAATAAAAAAAGATTGGTCAATGTACTTGCTCTAATATAGTGTTTTGTGTGATATAAAACTTTGTTATTACATTTTTTTTAATAAGTGAGCTATTATGCACAAGGATATAAATTATTGATATTTTTCATTGGTTAGTTTATAGACAAAAATTAATTATTTAATTAGATCTATACAACTAGTATCACATTTACCCTAAGCACAAAAGTGACAAATAGGAAATGAATTTTAAACTAATTATAATATTACTCCATGTTGTTAAATTGTTAAAATAGAATATAAGTATACTTAATCGTTAATTGATATTAATTGCATGAAAAAATCAGTATTAACTATGTATGTACCAAACAGTATTACATTAGTACAGATATGTGATAACACACTACATAATGTGATACTTAATAGTTCTATATTTAACAGAGATTTAATAAAAAATTTTCTAATAAATAACTATATATTCATGTCTTAAATATACAAGAGACACACCCCATACATTTTATATAAAGGGTGTTTTTAAAAGGTAAAAAGTTAAGTAGTAAATGAAAAACATCAAATATCTTAAGGACCACTTTATTTAATCCTATTTATTTGTATCACATAAGCTATAATTGAGATAAGTCTATTTTCTTAAATTCTTTTAACTTAATAATATTCAATTAACAGATTTTAAGAATACTAATGTAAAATTATACAAAATATTTCCTATAAATCTGTTTTTCAGTAAAGTATATAATTTTATGAAACCATTTTCAAATATTTATAAATATAAAAACTTCACAAAACAAACATAATAAAATGATATAGCAGTTAGAGATAATTATCAATTACTAACTTGTTACTTTTTTGATAATTTATCAAGAAAATTATAACAGTTTTCTATTATAGAAGAATAAATGGATTTTCTTCATAATACAAAGAATTTATCATGTTAAAAGATAATTCAATGTACATAGTTCTATGAAGAGCAAATGTTAGTACTAATAGTTTAAATAAAAATATTACACTAGTTGGAATTATTCCATTTCAGTATCAGACTTACAATAATCTATTCAAAAATGTTATGTATTAATAAAAATATAATACATACCATTTTTTTCTAAATGCAGGGCCCATATCAAATTAATTCCAGGTTTATTTTTATGGTGAACAGTACATGCTCTTATATATATATCTTCTATTTGATCTTTTATTTCCTGATCGTCAGACTCAAGACTTTCGAGGTAACTAACATACTAAAAATTGTTTTTATATTTAATCATGTAAATTGTTTTTATAGTGATATTTGTTCATATTTAAAATATTACTTTAGTCCAAAATTCTTCATACAGAGCACAAGCTATTAAGCACCTTTCAAATAACACTACTATTCTTTTAAAAGATCCTTGAGCAATTTCAAATTCTAAATATTCTTTCCAGTTTCTTATTTGTGATCTTTCCAAAGGTTTAACATGAAAGTATGGTCGTTTTATCTAAAAATAAAAATATATATCAAACTAACAAAAATATAAAAAAGCAAGTATTACTTTTTAGTTTACAATTTTTATGAATCTGACATAGTTAATAATATTTAAAAACACCATTTATTTAAATTATATATTTTAATAAATACCATTTCTTCAAATGGTAGCCGTAGAGCAACCATTTCAGCTGTAGTTTTATGTACTAATCCTCTGGCAAATATCATTTTATCTTTCATCATATTTTCTTCTTTTGTTTTCTTGTTAAAAAAAATTCAATAAGAATATATTTATTAAATAAAAATAATTTCTTTTTAATTAAGAAATTGTTAAACAAAAATTGCTTACTTGTTCCATGGGATCAGCCATGTCATCAGAATCTGAACTAGAATCTATTTTTTTATTTTTTTTTGCATCAGCTTCTTTAATTTCTGTTAACACTTCCTTCCTGAGTTCTAAAAATTTATCAGTCTCTAATATTTTGTTTTTAGGGTACTTTTTAATAAAATCTTTAAAACTGTAAAAAACAAAAATATGTTAAATTAATAATAATAATTGTATAGTAAAAAATATGTTACCATTCATAATTATTTAAATAACCATGTGTAGGAGTAGCAATAAGGCGATCATAAATATTAGTTACTCGTGAATATTCTTTACAATCCATTTCAAATTTAATATAATGATCCCATAAACGATCAGATCTAAAATAAATGACTCATAATGTAGTATTTAAAATTTATTTGTAGTATTTATATTAATTTTTACCTAAATTCAATACCACAAGCTTCAATAGCTCTTTCAAATTGTTCTCTTATTATGTCTTGATCATCAGGATGAGCTGATTTCATGTATCCCATATAATGAATCCATAAGTCTACACTTAAAGGAATAGCTTTTAGTCCACGTTCAAAAACCTATGTATAATAAATATACAGTTTAACTCAACTTTCCAAACATGTTTGTAATTTATTAAAAAAATTTAAAAATATAGAAAGAAAATCTATAACATGCCTGTTAATATTTAATAAAATTATAATATATCAATTATCTTATTCATTAACACATACAAAATATCCTTACAACTAATTGATAAATTCACCGCTTACCCAAAATTAATCCAAAACAGCTATGGATGTCTGTTGAGCAATGATCTGCATATTTATGTCACTTAATATTATAACACATTTTACAAATTACTTAAATGAAAATAATAGCACAATAATTATTCTTAACTAAATAACATACAATAAAAAATATATGGTGGCACAATATTTCCATAAAAATACATGTATATATTCATATTAACGTAAAAGGCTGACATAAAATAGCTTATATAGTAATATTAGTTAAATAGTGTAATTCGTGATTAAACACATTTTGGAGAAATGAATGTGCTTTATTTGGGCCACAGCATGAAGTATGATTGTGAATAATCCAACAGCAACCTGATGAAAAAATATCTACACCAAAATTATGTTAGTTATAAAGTATTCTTGAAAGAATATTTACTCAGAGGAATTATTCATTAAAGAATTAAACCAACAATAGTACCTAAAAATTGTGATTTTTTTTTTTTTTTTACAATAAATTTAGAAATAACTAATATTGTTCAAAGAATTAAAATAAACTAATAAACAAAATAAATAACAAATTACAAGTCACAACAGTAGTTGTGTAATAAAATTGCATTTTTAAAAATCAATAATAAACTTAAGCACAGCTTGACTTGCTTCATAAAATCTGGAAAAATTATCTCCAATTGCTTAATCAATATTTTTCTTGATATTTATGTGTAGTTGTAATTTCATAAAAAGTTTTTATTAATCTCTTCAATTTGATAAAAATATTACTAATAAATAATTACATTTTGCTATGACCATTGTAACTAAAATTAAATAAAGTTCTTCGAATATGCACATTAAAATAACATAATATAAAAACACAATATTTTTTGTAGATTATTTTCATTTGTAAATCCATCCCACGTAATTATTTACACACCCTCTTCACTTTGAGATTGTCACAATTTGGTAGGATATTCAATTAAATAAATTGTACTGCTACAAACTGAGTTAAAAAAAATAAGTTTTTATGACAAGATACAGCAATTTAACCAGTCAAAATATCCATTTCTATCTTATATATATAAATACAATTTTGTAAAATATTATATATCTTAATAATTAAAAAAAAAATTATATTTCACTCAACTAAAATTAATTGAAACAAAATACTTGATCAATAATCAAATTTAATTGCTCTTATTATTATTATTATTATTCATAAAATTTATTATAAACGCATACATGTTTTAAGATTACAAATTAAATATACTAATTTAATATAAATTACAAATTAAATAATTATACAAATTGTCATCAAAATATTATAAACTTAAATTAGTGTGTAAAATCTTAAGTTAATTACAATTTTAACAAAGAATATATTTTATTGTTTTTACAAAAAACAAAAATCAATAAAAAAGTCTGTCTTAATTAACACAATAATAATAAATTAACAATAAAGTTAATTTGAAAATTTTGTTTCTTTTTAAACTCTTTGTCACTGACATTTAACACAGCACCACAATTAAAAAACTTAGTCATGACATTCAAAAATTATCACTTTTGTAAAAAAAAAAAAAAAATCAGCACGTTATTTTTAACATTCTGCTTTTTTTATGATAACTTGACATATTTTTTTATACTATAGTAAAACTTATATCTTGGCTAGTTATTTTTAATATAAGTTAATAATATAAATTACTTACTTTTTCACAATTTTCTTTTGTTCCATTTTTTCTTTCATAATCGGCATATTTCCTCCAATAGCCGTAACAATAAGGATATAAATTAAGAAAAGCATCATAAGCTTCACGAGCAGCATCAATATTTTTCTTTAAGGAATATTAAAATTTAAATCAATTAAATGATTAAAATTATACTTAAAATGTACTTACTGCGCCATCTACATATTGAAGTAAATAAGTCCAACCAATGAAATCTGATGGATCATCACGTACAGTCTGCCAGAATTTATCTAATTCTCTAAGTTTTTTTGATTCTTTTTCTTTGTCATTCTAAAAAACAAATTTTAAGTTTTTCATTACATAAGAATGATTTTTTGTAGTTGGATATTATTGATACAGTAGTTAATTTTTAATAGTTAAAAAAAAAGACAACACCATTGGTTAAAAATTATAAATCTTGTTTTTGTTTTAATTCAGATATTTTTAAAGTAATTAAACTTGAAAATTTATTTATGAAATCTTGTAACAACTGAAAAATCAATATTTTTTATAAATATATGGAAAACTCACATTATCTATTAGAAGTTCAAATAACTCATTTACAAAATATCAATACTTTTTAAAATAATGAAAATTATTTTATGCTTTACTAAAAATGATAATATTTTGATAGTTAAGTTTTTAAAAAAACCCAGCACAGGGTGTTGCGGCACAGTGGTGAGATGGCATAGTTGGATCAAGTATAATAATATCTGATAGTGATTAAAATCACTATAAAAAAAAAAAAAAGGCTTCAATGGAAATCTTTAGATACAGTTTAATTTTAAAAAATTGGTGGATTATTCCAAAAGCTACATGATCTGCAAGTTCCTTATTAATATCCTGATTAAAAAGTATATCGAATGAAAAAGGGATATAAATATTATTTCTCATAAAAAAATTGTGTTGATCCATACACTTTTCAATAAGTTATAGCAGGGATGGGCAACTCAAAGTTACTAGAGGGCCAATTTTTAAAAAAATTAAAATCTAGCGGGCCAGAGCATAGAAAGCAAAAAAAAAAAAAAGGTCATTCAAAATATACATGTTAATGTAGAGTAAAAAAGGGTTATTAAAATAATTTAATTAAATATTAATAGATATTTGTTTAGTGTGGCTTAATTAGCATGTGTGGCTTCTAGTGACAATGCGGCAAAAACGACTTCTATTTCGGATGAAGAAACACGAAGTAGGTGACTTAATGTTTCATCTGTAAGTCGATTTCTATGTTTTGATTTAATAATGTTTGAAAATGTACATTCACAAATGTAAGTAGTCCCAAACATGGATAACATTTTTAATGCGAACTCTCATAAAAGTGGATATTTTAGAATAGGTAATTTTTTCCAAAAGCTTATGTCAATCTCTTTTGTAGATAAATTTTAAAATTGTGAGTTGAAATTTGAAAATGTAGTGGGTGCCAGATAAAAATGGCTCGCGGGACGCTAGTTGCCCACCCCTGAGTTATAGCAATATAAAGTTAAAAATGTAAAATACAAAATCGAGAATTTTCACACAGAAATAGCATTTGGTTGCCATTTTCACTGTGAAGATAAAATAGTCCGAAATTTTTTTTTTCCCATGATAAAATATATTACATAAGCATTAATTTAAGATATATATATAAGTGTCAGACTTTCCGGTACATTTTCAAAAGTCAAATTGAGTCAAGTCAGATTTATAAAAAAAATATACCAAATGAAAGGTAACGATATTATGCATCTATATAAAAAAAAAATTATATTGATTTGGTTATTTTTAAAAAAGTTATAACAATTTTAAGTAAAAATTTTTTCGAAAATTAGCAATTTTTAAATTTGTAATTTTTTTGAAGATTTCCCCTATTCACGGGGAACGAGGGAAATTTTTACAATTTGTGAGGGTAATGTCTTCAACTAGATACAATTTGTGATCTTTTGATGTATCATTGAAAGAAATCTGTTTGGTGAAAACTGAGAGAAACTGGTGACAGACAAAAAAAAATACATCATAGTAAAACCATTACCTTCTCAGCTTCGTATCAAAGCTAAAAAGTTATCAAAATATAGTAATATTATTGCTAACACACTTTCTTAAAGGAAATTGCAAAACCTGGTATAATGCAATACAATGTAATAAGCGAGGACATACCTGAATGTTTTTGGTATAGTAAGTATTTGACACACAGTTAATATATGCAATATACAGTGATATTAAATTGGATAATTATAATTATAATAATTACTCCTATATTTTTATTGTTGGATAAATGAAATATTTTTTTATTTTCAGAGATTATAAGTGCAACAAAAAAGTTTAATATGGGACTATGTAAAAAGCAGTTTGACGAGATATTAAGTATGGTGGTTAGGTGGCTTAGTGGGTAACTTTTCTCATATAGCAAGAGATCAAGATTTGATTTCTATCCCACTTATTTTCATAATGTGAAAAAAATAAAGAAAATAGATTATCTTGAGCATATTAATTAATATAACAGTAAAATACGTAAAATGATCCTACTAAGATGGAAAGTAAATAATTTTCTGTGAACTTACACTTTTAGGTCTTTTTTTTGGAGTATCTTTAGTAGATCTTTCTTTACTGGGAGTTCTTGAACGCTTTTTGTCATTTTTTCTTAAGTCATCTTTTCGAGATCTTTCCTTTGATTTTGAATCTTAAAATACAAAATACAAACAACATTGTAAGAAAAAAAATTGTTTTTTCTATATACCTATATAAATATATTAAATCAATATAGAGTACGAGTTTGACAAAGGAGAATACGAGGTAGGTGAAATGAAGAGATCAGTGACAATAGGCGAGGACGTAATTCGAGAGGTGGAGAGTTTTATGTATTTAGGGTCAGTTGTGCAAAAGAGTGGTGGTATTGACGAGGATTTAAGACACAGAATTAAGTGCGGTTGGTTGAAGTGGAGAGAAGTGCTTGCCATCTTATGCGATAAAAGAATTCCAATGAGGATGAAAGTAAATTCTACAAGACTGTAGTGAGGCCAGCTATGATGTATGGTTCGGAGTGTTTGGGCGGTTGATAAGAAAGTAGAGCAGAGAATGAGTGTAGAAGAAATGAGAATGCTTAGATGGATGAGTGGAGTGACTAGGAAAAATAGAATAAGGAACGAGCATATAAGAGGAAGTATAAGTGTAGCGTCAATCATGGATAAGATGAGAGAAAATAGACTTAGATAGTTTGGTCATGTTATGAGGTGAGAAGAATCGGAAGCTGTAAGAACAGTTATAGAAATGAATGTTGTTGAAGAAGAAGAGGTAGAGGAAGACCAAAAATGAGATGGCAGGATGCTATTGAATGCGATATGAGGACAGCTGATGTCAGCGTAGATGATGTGGGAGATCAAATCAAGTGGAAGTTTAGGATAAAGGTGGCCGACCCCAAGTAGTTGAGATTAAGGCGTGGAAGAAGAAGAAGATATTAAATTAATGATAAATATAATATTATGTAACTAGACTGAATTTGATTTTAAATATCACTTAAAACTATACATGATAAATTAAAACAGAGCTAGTATCTAAATTATATTAGAGGTTCAAGAGCCAAACATAATATCTAAAATATATTTAGGTATCTAACCTCTATAGAAAAAATGTAAACATTTTTCTACAACTTAAATTAATATTTAAGCTAATAAAATGTACTAAATTCTATGGTACAACTAAAATATTTTTTATATCTTAAGGTTTTATTTCTTTATTTTGTGTTAAGATTTTAAATAAAATTTTAATGTTTATATATATTAAATATACAAACGATTCAAATATACTTATTATGCAACATTATTTTCTAATTATATGATAAATAAAAATATTGAAATTGATTTCATAATTTATTTGAATTTTCATAAGTAAATTACTATTTTGAAATCTTAGATAATTTATGAAGTGTGTATAGTTAAAGTGCAACTTAAGGGTAATGTGCCATATACTGTAGTATAATATATGATAATTGTATGTCAACTTCACATTATATACAACATATGATAACATATTTTCTCAGACAATATTTATTTTATACATTTTAACAATTTTTTTTATAAAATAATTCTTTTTTATATATTAAGTATTTTAAGCACGAAATTGCATAATATATAAATAATTTGTTAGTAAAATGATTTCTATAAAAGAATTTAATTTGTTTAACATTTAAAACCTAAAAATTAAACAGGGCACATTCAAATATACCCTTTACAAAAAAATTGTCATTGATTTAAGAAATTCTTAAATTACAAATAATCTAATGAATTTATAAGTAAAAGCTTATATATTGAATATATAGACTAGAACTCTAAAATTTATATTTTTATATACTTTCAACATGAAAGTTAAAAATTAATCCCATCTTTTCACACAAATACTAACTTCAAAAAACAGTATTATTATGTTAACATTTAATATCTAAAACTCACTAATAAAAAATTATTAAATTTATAGAAAATTACCTGACTTTTTATCCAATTTTTTATTTTTATCTTTATCTTTAGAATCTTTTTTTACTCTTTTGATATCTTTTTCATACTTATCTCTAGAGTTTGAAACAATTGCCTCAGATTCTATTTTTTCATCTTCCTATTAAATTTAATTAATTTAGTAGTATTATTATTAAATGCTTAATTTAAATAAAATATTTATATATTATGCTACTAACATCTTCAGTGTCACCAGCCACTTCATCACAAACTATCATTTCAGATAATTCTAATTCTTCTTTATCTTCAGAAATATTTCCAGTTTCTTTGAGATCTTTGTCACTGTTTTCTGAATTAATATTATCATCCTCTACATATTCTTTTTTATTAGCTACAACATTGATATCTACATTTTGATCTTGAATCTATAAAATGATTTTAAAAATGATGTAGCTAATTTCTAAATATTAATATGTTAATTTTAACAACTTTCCAAATAAAATAAGATGTTTATAATTATGTTATTACATTGTCAGTTAAAATTTTAATTTTAGCATGTTTATTTATCAGTATACAATATAGATATATATAATAATTTTTCTTAAATAGAAAAAATTTACTTTTAATTTTTCATTCTAAATATTAATTATCCTTCCTGTCAGACAATGAACTAACAATCTTATGTAACTTAATTAGTTTAGAAAACCATTCTCTTATTAGGATGACCTTATATAACTAAAAATTATTAAATATGTACATTTTTTAATTTTTATAAATAATAATAATAATAAAGTCTTCTTCTTCTTCTTCCACGCCTTAATCTCAACTACTTGGGGTCGGCCACCTTTATCCTAAACTTCCACTTGACACGATCTCCCACATCATCTACGCTGACATCAGCTGTCCTCATATCGCATTCAATAGCATCCTGCCATCTCATTTTTGGTCTTCCTCTACCTCTTCTTCTTCAACAACATTCATTTCTATAACTGTTCTTACAGCTTCCGATTCTTCTCACCTCATAACATGACCAAACTATCTAAGTCTATTTTCTCTCATCTTATCCATGATTGACGCTACACTTATACTTCCTCTTATATGCTCGTTCCTTATTCTATTTTTCCTAGTCACTCCACTCATCCATCTAAGCATTCTCATTTCTTCTACACTCATTCTCTGCTCTACTTTCTTATCAACCGCCCAAACACTCCGAACCATACATCATAGCTGGCCTCACTACAGTCTTGTAGAATTTACTTTCATCCTCATTGGAATTCTTTTATCGCATAAGATGCCAAGCACTTCTCTCCACTTCAACCAACCGCACTTAATTCTGTGTTATAATAAAATATGTGTCATCACTATAGAAAATAAGTAAGAGGCTTAAAGCAGTCTTGATGCACTCCTACTCTTACCCGAAAATCTTCTGATACTCCTCCTACGCTTTTTTACCTTGGTACAAGTGCCATCATACATACCTTCTATTATATTAATGCACCTTCTTGGGACTCATTTTCTCATTAATGCCCACTTTAAAACCTTTCCGGTACTCTATCATATGCTTTCTCAAAATCTATAAATACCATACACAGATTTTTTTTCTTTTCCCTAAATTTTTCTATTAGTTGCCTCACACAAAATACTGGTTCTATTGTTGACTTACCAGGCATAAATCCTAACTGGTTTTTAGATACCGATGTCTCATTTCTTATTCTCTTATCTATTACCTTTTCCCAAATTTTCATACTATGACTCATAAGCTTTATGTCTCTATAATTTTTACACTTCTGTATGTCTCCTTTACCTTTAAATATCGGCACTACAATACTATTCCTTCATTCATTTGTATTTTTCCTTCTAATAAGATTATATTTAAAAGTTCCTTCAACCACCTTATGCCAACACCACCTAATATTTTCTATACTTCTACTAGCATTTCATCTGGTCCTACTGCTTTATTCTTTTTCATTGATGCCACAGCCTCCTATACCTCTTTCTCACTAATTAAATCGACCAGTTCCTCATTCCACAAGATATCCTCTAATGTCTCTTTTGGGTATTCCTTATTCAATAATTTTTCAAAATACTCTTTCCACCTTTTTTTCACATCATCATCACTCGAGAATACCTTATTATCAACACTTTAATAAAGTCATCATTAAAATTAGGATCTTTTATTAATAAACTAACAATTTTTATTTTTATATTTTATGACCAACTTTTAGTGAAAAGACATTAGATATACTATGTATTTTTATGTGTCTGTCACCACTTATCATTATCAATTTCTATAGCATTGAACTTGAGGCATTTCAAAGAAAATTTGTTAACTCCCAGAATTACTAAGAAACTTTTGAAAAAAAAAAAAAATTTTTAGACAAGATAAAAGAAATTTTTTTTGTAAATATAAATATACGTATAAACCATAAAAGAAAAATTACTAAAAATATTATAAAAATAACAAATTTTGTCTATTAATTAGCTTTATAATGAATAAAAATTAAATTATAAGAATGTTCCGGGAATATTGCACCTATCAAACTAGTGTTACATACTGTAAGTTAATTTATGTTTTCAACTTTATATTGCTATAACTTTTTGAAAAATGTATGGATTAATTCAATTTTTTTAATATAAATATTTTATATATATCCCAATCATCCGACAAACTTTTTATTAAAATTTGACCATTTTCCCTTACACAAGGAGATTTAAAACATATTTATAAAAGTAGAATTTTTTATAATGTACTGTAAAAGCTACATCCTTTAAACATGTGTTAAATTAAAGTTGTCACATACTATAAATTTAGAAAAAAATTTACTTTAGATTAAAAAGTATAGACATAAATAAAGACAGAACTAGTACCTCCATTTAAACTTCCTAACAAAAAAAAAATTAGATTTCATTGTTGATTATAATTATTTTAATGTAATACAATAAGTATATATAAAGAAAGGAGGTGCCCTTTACAAAAAAAGTTTGATTTACCATTGGCTTATAAAAAATTGCATATTCAATTTCATAAATAAAATTATAATTAACTAACAAAAGGTGAGAATAATCAAATATTTTTTGATAAATCCATATTACAATTTAGATACACATTGTCCATGAAGGTAACAAAATATACAACATTATAATTTCTTTGTAAAAATTACAATATTAAATTATTGAATATCAATTTTATACCAAATTTAATTACTTCTAAAATTAAACACTACAGATTTGCATAGAAACATTTTTATGATAAGGATTTTAATCACTGTTTGATATCATTTATACTTGTTCTAATGATTCCGTATCATTACTTACAGCTTTTTAATTGATAATATTTTTTATTTCTAATAATAATATAATGTACTTAAAATTATTCAACTAATAAAACTTAAATTTTTAAAAACTTAAGAATTTATATCCAAACAACAAAAAATTAACATGAACCTACTTTAAAAATAATCAAAATATTTAAAATTACTTTGCAGTTAAGACTTGATAATCCATTTGATTCTTTGTTGTTATTTTCCATACCATTGCAATCATTGTTTTTCTTAGAGTTGTTCTGAAAAAATAAAAATTAGGTTGAAAAAAAATTAACATCAAATATTAAGTTTTCATGTTTTTTATTATTATTTATCAAATATAATATTTAGATAAAAATAAATAAACAACATAGATTAGTTAAAATTAAATCAAAGTAATTAGTAGAGATATGTTTGTAAAATAATATTTTAAATATAAATTTAATTTTTCTAAATACTTAATTTGAAAGAGTAAAATTTAAAAACCTTTTTTTCTTCAGCATCAACCGAATCAATCAATTTATCTAATTCTTCATAGATTGTATCATTATTCCCAACTTTATCCATTTTTTCAAATTCAACAGACATTCTTTAAGTTCTAAAAACAATGTACATCATAGAAGGATAGAAGTAACACAATCTTTACATACTAGTATTTGTTATAGATGTGGTATTATTTAATGAAATATATAGTTAACTATCATTACAATATTGACTACATTACTTATCATATAACTTTTTATAAATAATTAGAGGACCAAAAGTTATAACATTTGACAGAACATGATTCCTGGGGATCACAGGGACACCCTGTGCATAAGTTTATCATCTACACAAAATTAAACTGACAAAATATGAACATTAAAAAATAGAATTTTCAATACATATGCTAATCGTTTATAATAAATATTATTAAATGTCTATAATAGAAAATGATATTTTTTTAAATAATATTTATAAATAGTTAATTTTTTTTTAAATAAATAAATAATTTCTATAGATAAGTAGCAAATTTTTTATAATGGTTAATGTAACATTTTAAAATTCATAATTAAAATATTTTACTTTTCATTAAGCGATTGCACTCATTTTTTATTTCTAAGTGTTTTTCTGATATGGAATTTGTTTGTTTGTGTCCTATAAAGAGTAATATTCTTTGTCAAAACATTAGTAGTATATGAAATGCAAAGTAACGATAAAACAGGGCTAAGCAACTAAAATTAGATGTATGTATCTGCAAATTGCAAGCGTCGAACTACAGAATGTGATGATAAGTGAAGTGATAAGACCGCCATCTTTTAATATAGTTTACATTCATACGAAAATTTTCCATGATGAAATAAAAAAAAATTGTTCTCTGCAAAATGCTTAAACTATAAGAAATTCTGAATTGTATTTGAGTATTTTTTAGGTAATTGAGGTGATAGAAGGATTATCCGAGTAGAAATTTCATAACATTCGTAATAATTACAGGGAATAAATATCAAATCGTATGCTCGATTTAAAATATTAATTTAAATATATTTTTGATTTTAAATAATATGAATTACAAGTGATCAATTCTTATCTAATACTCCAAATAAGAACAACTAAAATTTTTGGCGAAGGAGCCAAAGGAATTACTTTAAATTTTTATTCGTTAATATTTAGTTCCATGAATTTATTTGACAGCTGATATATTAATTTAATAACAAAAGATAACATTGAGATTATCATATTATAGAAATATTTTATTTTAATTTTAATAGTTTCAACTTAAATGTTTAATGAGACTTAACAGCAGATATTTCACTAAAAATAAATTGACAATTACGCATTTATAATTATAATCCATCTTCTTATTTATATTAATTATATTTGGACATCTATGTTTCAATCAAGTACAGTGTCTTAGCAATAAAGCATTATGAGTGGAAGTAATTTTGATTATAATTCAATGACATTTGTTAGAGCTACACCTTCTACTGACAAAATAGATGTAATATTCTAGTTATAAAATAATTTTTAAACTTTGTGTAGAAGAATCATATGTCACTGACTATATAAAAACTACTGCTTTCATAATACTCAAAATACTTCACAATAGCATATAACAATGTGTAAAATTGCAATGACTATGTCAGTTTGTGGTAGTAGAAAGAAGACCTTTTGAATAAATTATATATATTTTAAACATTATTTTTAAATATGAATGATATGAACTACTCAAATTTTTCATTTATGAGTTATTTAAAAGTTGATGTTGTAGCAAAACTTTCAATTATAGATAAAATAAAATTTATATTTAAGTGTTAATAAGCTGAAGTGGAGTAAATATGAACAAATGGGGATTGTAAATTTATTATTTCTCTTAGAATATTTCATATATATATTATTCTAGATTCTATAATTCTAATTCTTAAGTATACATTTATCTTTTTTAGTTTAATTCAAAAATAAATAAATTGACTGTTTCATTAAAAATATTCTTAAAATTATCTCATTAATTTATATTTGTCACTTTATTTTGTTTATAAAATCTGTTTTTCTTAATTTTTACAGTTACTAGAATGTAGAGTATGTGAAGATATATTTAGCCTCCAAGGAGAGAAAGTTCCAAGACTTTTATATTGTGGTCACACAATATGTCATTCATGTTTGATACGTTTGTATCAACGGTGTTCATCAGTACAATGCCCCTTTGATAGACAAACAACACCAGTTGGATCATCTGGTGTGTGGGGATTAAAAAAAAATTTTGCATTATTAGAATTATTAGAACGTTTACAAAAAAATAACAAAACAGAAATTAACATCAATACCTACATGAATGCTGAAACAATGGAAAAAGAAGAACAAGTAATGAATTTGTCGACTTATAAAACTTCTTAAGTAAATTTTAATGTTCTATATTATATAGTTGCATGTACTTTGTGATGAAAATGACAATCATACAGCTGTCCTTTATTGTACAGTATGTTGTACAAATTTGTGTTTTTACTGCTCTGAACAAACACACAGTACACGGACTCTAGCTAAACATCGAAGAGTTCCTTTATCAGAAAAACCACAAGAACGACCTCGTTGTCCATTACATCCATCTCATGTTGCTGAGTTTACATGTTTACAAGACACTTGTCATCAACCATCTCCTCCACTTATGTGTTTTGTATGTAAAGATTATGGTGTGCATAAAAATCATAAGGTATGATATAGATTTTAATACTTCTACTTTCTTTTTTTTTGTTAACAGCCCAAAGGCTGGTTGGCAGCAATTTTCCACTCCTGACACTTCTTAGCTTTCCTTTGTAATTCGCAATAAAATCTGCAGTCCATATCTCTAACTATTTGACTAATGTAATCCAGTGGTGGTCTCCCTCTGCTGTTGTTCCCTTCAATGGCACCTTCTATTATTCTGCTTAGTAGACTGTTATGACGCAGTACTTATCTAATTAACTTGGCTCTTCATGTTTTTAATGTCTTCAGAAAACTCCTTGTTTCTCCGGCTCTGCGATAAACTTCTTTATTTGTTATGTGTTCTGTCCAACTTATTCTTAGTAGCCTTCTGTAACACTAAGTCTCAAACGCTAGGAGTCTTTATTCTTCTATTTTACCTATGGTCCATGTCTCACTTCCATACAGTGTTACACTCCAAACATAAGCCTTTAGTAGGTTATTCCTCACTTTCATATCAATATTTCTGGATATGAACATATTTTTATTGCTCTGAAATGCACATTTAGCCTGGTTTATTCTGCTTATGATCTCTCAGGTACTACGACCGTCCTCTGTTATCTTACTTCCCAAGTATTTATATTCATTTACTTGCTCTAATGTGTCACCATCTAATGTAATTTGAGTTGGGGTTCTTTCGTTACGGCTGCAAACAAAGACTTTAGTCTTTGCCCTGTTTATTTTCATATTGTACTCATTTTTCATTGTTGAGTTCATTTTTTCTAAGATATTCTGTAGATCCACTTCATTATCTGTTATTACCGTTATGTCATCTGCAAATCTTATATTAAATCAGTTTCATAGGTTTTTTGGAACAGTTCATAAATAATCTTTTTGCTATTTTTTCCACAATCTTTTAAAAGTTCTGCCGGAATTTCATCAATTCTGGGTGCTTTTTTGTTCTTCAGCTCCAATAATGCCTTATCAAACACTTCCCTAATTATACTTTGGTCTACTTCTTCCGTGTCACTCTTACTTTCTTCTTCTATCTTTGCGTCTATTGTCATATCTTCTTTGCAATATAGTTGTTCTAAGTCCTTTTACTAAAATTTTGCTGCCTCTGCTTCTTCATATATAATATTGCCATTTGTTTCTTTAATACTTGCCGTTTTAACTTTTCTTTCCTTTAAAAAATCTTCTAACCATCCCATACGCCTTATCCATTAGTCCAACTTTTAGTGCTTCATTAATATCCTGGCAAATATTATTTAAAAATACTTCCTTGCTTTTCTTGCATTCTCTATTTATTGCATTTTTTAGTTGCTTGTATTTTTCCATCCCTCTTTGGTCTGTAGTATTTTTATAACTTCTCCTTTAATTAATCATTTTTAGGATTTCTTCGTTTATCCATCCTTTTCTATTAGTTTCTTTAAATTTTCCTAAAATGTCATCCACATTCTTTAATATGCATCGTTTGATATTTCCCCATTTTTCCTCAATGCTTGAAGTACTTTTTGTATCATACGTCTCCATCATAGTTTTATCTGTCTTTTCTTTGTATGAATTTTTGATTTCTTCCACTTTCAGGTTTATCAGTTGTAACTTTTTAAAAGTTCACAATGCATCAAGACCCGGTTATGATCGCTATTAATATCGGCTTCTGGGTAACTTTTACTGTCTTTAACTTGATTTTTTTATCTTCCTTTTACAAATATATATTCTATTTGTGGTCTTCTTATGTTGCCGGGAGCTTTCCACGTATATTGTTTTCTTTTGTAATACTGGAAGTGTGTGTTTGTTATTATTAGATTATTCCGTACACAGAACTCTAGTAATATTTCAACTCTAGGGTTTCTAATTCCAAGTCCATACTTGCCGACAATATTTTTTTCTTTCCCTTCCCCCACAGTGGCATTAAAGTCTCCTAGGATTATAAGATTTTCTTCTCCTTTGACAGTCTTTATTAAACCATTTAGTTCTTCATATATTCTTTCTACTTCATCTTCCTCGTTTTCTGATGTGGGCATATAGACTTGAATAATCACAGTATCTACTGGTTTGGTATCTAATTTGTCTACTTCTATAGTGTACTATAAATAATTGTAAAAATTACATATATTAATATTATATAAATGGATATAAGTTAACTAAAAGACACAACAATCTAAGTCCTTTTTTCAATTTTTCAGTAAAAACAAAATTAAGTTTTATCAAAGAAATTTTATTTACTCTATATTTACTTCAATGATTTAGCCTCATTATTTATTTATTTTTTTTTGAAGCTATACATCTAGAATTAGTTAAAATGTAAAAATTGTGTTTTTATTTGTTTGATTTAATAAACTGTGTATATAGATTATTTTGTTAATGGCTTAAATTTCCTAAAATATTGGTCTTGGGATTTCAATCATAATTATAAAAAATAAGTAACATAAAGTTTTGAATAAAATATCAAATTCTCGTTTTTATAAAAAGTGAACTTTTATTGATATACCTCTCAAATATAGAAAAATGTACTTGTAATTATTGAAAATATGGTAGTTTTATTTTATTTTTTATATATAAATATTATTTTTAATTTTAAGCACGCATTAGTTGAAGCAGAAGCAGAAAATATACGTACTATGGTGAAAAATGCTGGACCCTTAATGAGAAATTTAATGGAAGAAATTAATGAAACTATTCAGAGATTGGGTAAATTATTTCTTTTTAAATTATTTTTTTTTCCAGCTTCATTTTTCTTGCTTTAACATACCCTCCATGTATTCTTTCATATCCTCTCCTCTCATTACCAATATATACATTTATATCACCATATCCTCATTACTTGGTATTTCTTGCATACTTCATCCATTTTTCTACAAGGAACTTCTTTGTATTTCTCTTTACATCTTATTTCTGAAGCATATTTACATACTACTTTCATAACTCAAAAATTAATTTTACTATTATAATTAGATTACTTTTTCTGATTATGTTTATTACTTTACTTTTTATCCTCTTGTCCATTATTACTCCTACACCATTCCTTGTATTTTTCTAATCTGAATATATTATTTTATACCCGTTATCCATTTCTCTTGCTTCTTTCCATTAGTTCCTGCATACAACAAATATTGATTTTCCTCCTCTTCAATATTTCTACTAATTCTCTACTCCTACTTGTTAATGTTCCAACATTCCACATACTTATTATTACTTTATAAATATCTGTTGTACCTAGACACTAGTTTAACTTAGAATTTAGTGATGAAGTCTTTACACTGTTGACAGTAAAAGCATTTGGTAGGTCTGTACACAATTAGTTAGATAACTACGTTATTTCCTCTTACCTGTTGTCTCCATGTATATCTGAGATGAGACAATCCACCTATGTTTTGTTAAGAACTCGTTATATTTATTGAAAAAATGTTACACAGGCTGTCGACCTAATACATTTTTATTTGTCACCTCTTACAACTAGCATAGGGACTGTGGAAGTATTCTGACCCTCTTTCAGGGGTATAAAAATACCTTAAACTAGTGATTATCAATTATATATTTTCTTACAGATCAAGCTATGTTACGCTTAGAAGGTGGAGAATCATCTAATCTTGTTGAAAATGAAATAAATAACACTGGTACAGGCTGTATGGCACGAGCCCGAGTACAACTTTATTTCCAACATTTACGAGAAACTTTACAAGTTCAAGAAGCTGCTGCATTAAGCGCTGTTGATACACACATTCGAGAAAGATTGGCTTCATTGCGATGTTTGCAAGAAGATTTAGCATCATCATTATCACAAGTAGCAGTAATATGTGTGCAATGTGAACAAGCAGTGAGACAAGATGATACTCGTGTTCTATCTGCTAGTGTTGATATAAACCATGCTTTGAATGTTATTGAAAAACATAAACAAATGTTTACCGAACTTGGACAAGAACAAATACAACCAGATTCTAGTATACCAATAACTTTTACTAAAGTAAACATTTTATTTGTAAGTATTATTATAACAAATTTTAAATTATGAATATTTGTAGGACAATAGAGTACACATTGGGCCAAAAATGGAAATACGTGTTGTTACTCTAGGCTTAGATGGAGCAGGCAAAACTAGCGTTTTATTTAAATTGAAACAAAATGAATTTATGACTATGATTCCTACACTTGGATTTAATGTAGAAACAGTTGACTATAAAAATATGAAATTTACAATATGGGATGTTGGTGGACAACCTAAATTAAGGCCATTATGGAAACATTACTATCTTAATACACAAGTATTTACACAATTAATTAACTAATAAACTTATTATAGTACTAATTAAAAATAATAATTATTAACAGGCAGTTGTATTTGTGATAGATTCAAGTGATCAACCAAGATTATTAGAATCTTCCAATGAATTGGCAAAACTTATGACAGAAAAAGAACTAAAAGATGCAGCTTTATTAATTTTAGCTAACAAACAAGTACATATTGATGTATAAATTGCTCAAAAATAAATTTAACTCAATGTTTTGATGTTTTATAGGATATCCCTGGTTGTGTAACTGTTGAAACAATAACAGAATTATTTGGTTTGTATAAGTTATGTTGCGGAAGAAGTTGGCATATACAATCTTGTGATGCTCAAAGTGGAAATGGCCTTCATGATGGACTTGATTGGCTTGCTAGGCAGTTAGTTGCATCTGGAGTCCATGATCTCAATTAATTATAATAGTTAAGAATTTAAAAGTGACTATGTATAAAAAATTCTACTAGAAATTTTTTACCATGTAATATATATATTTATTAATTATATTATTTTTTCTTGCAAATGGCCTAAATTAAAAATGTTTAGGTTTGTTCTTGTTGATCTGTAGTTTGTATTTTGTTATGCTGAAATGGATAATAACTTTTTTTGTAATTTTTGTAAATGAAAATCTTATTCAAAGTTCTACTTACTGAGTACTTCATATATGATAAAAATGTATCGTATATGATAGATACTGCATTTATAAATATTAGTCTATAGTTTGGGTCAACAAACTTGAAATTAATATACTGTGTTGGGATAAATACTCCACAATCAACCTTATAATAAAAAAAAAATCATTAAAAAATTGTAGAAACTGATAGTTAATTTCTCAAAGTTTAAAAGATCTTTAAAAATAAAGTACAGTAGAAACTCAATCAAGCATCATTCTTTGTTCATCACATCATTATATGACATTCAGGCGCTACTTCTTTGTAAAAATAGAAAACAGTTTCTAAAAATACTAATTTTTATATAGAATGTTTGTCTCCTTCCTTAAAATCTTAATGTCAAAGCACTATGTAAAAAATTTAAATTGTTTTACCTATTATAAAATATATAAAATAAAGTATATTATAAACAGAAAAATATAATTTTGTATTATTTTTTAATTATTTTGTATAATTATTTAAAATTATTATATAAATAATATATAAAAATTATTTTGTATAATTTTACATAATTCTGTAAATATTTCAGTTCTATTCCTGATGATGTCAGATAATTGAGTTTCTTCTGTACTATTCAAAAACTAATTTTTTTTTATCAACAGTTTTAATAATACAATTATGTTAATTGGAATTTTTCATTTGTACTTAAAATTTATTACACTAAATTGGATGTTATGATCTTTTTAATGTCTTGTTAAAAAAATTAATAAAAAGATCTGCGTGTGTTCTATGTAAATTTTCGCTTTATTAATTATGTTAGGTAATTTTAACTTTTGAAATTAAAATAATGGCAGCACATGCTTACTAAGTAAAAATACAATGTTACCATTACAATTTGTTTTTCAGTTTTAAATCTTGTTGAAATTTTAAAAAAGAATTATAGAAATATTACTTTTTTAAGTAAAATCCCTAATTGAATATATTAGTAAATTTTATTGTTACAACTATAGTTTAGTTCTTGTTAAATTCCATGTAATATGCTCATATAAATATTGAAATATTTAAGTATAGCTAACCAGAAAGATAGTTGTGAATTTTTCTTTGAGTTCTTTATTTATTTCAGTCCACGTATTGTTTTCTAAAAGACCCAAGCCATAAATAAAAATGAATATATTAACTGGTGTACATAAAACTTGGTCTAAAATTATTTTTCTTGCTATTATTCTCATTTCTTTGCCAGGGTATTGTTTGTCTAGTTGACAATAAAAAAAATGTTGCAGTGTTCCTAAAATTGTTCCTACTATAGATATTCTACCTAGAAATAATAAATCAATTCATTTCAGTTATTTAGTATTGTTACAGTATAAGATACATACCAGTTCTTGTCCAATCAAATTTGTCAGATATTCCACGATAAAGTTCAATATTTTGTTGTAAGACATCTCCACTACTCATCAACACTGTTCCACTTATTGTATTAATTGAATATAAATGTTTATTAAATAAGTATATTGCAAAACGAGTTACTATTGTGTAGATTTTCCTTTTGAGAGGCATACAGTTTTAAAGCAGTTAAGTTGAGTATAAACTAATACAACGTTTCAACAACATCGTTAGAATTATTTACAAGGTTTTCAATACGATGTGTTTTCATTGCATAAGATTTTTAATTTGGCTCATTGCCTACTATATAAGTGAATGCAAATGCAATATGCATGTGATTTCTCTTAATTTCATTATACTTTTTAAATTTAAATGTGAAAAAAACAAATGTCTTTTGAAATAATTTACAGCAATTATCTAATTATAGTTTTGATTTGTAATGGTGTGGAGTTTTCCTTTTTTTGTTAAATGTTTGGTTGTTTATTGGTTAGCAGCCCACTAGAAGAAATGTATATCAATATGGATTGTTTTTTAGACGAATTAAATTTGTCAATTTGTAAACTGCATTTTTTTGTGGGCTTATCCATTGTGATAACAAGAAGTTTAGCACTCCAAATTATGAAAAAATAAAACTAAAATTTGAAATTATCGATTGTCTTAACGTCTTTTTAAACACGCACAATAACATCCATGTACAATTAAAAAATTGTATTTGTGGAGGAATTAACTTGAGGATTATCATACAATAAACATTTATGAGAACATATATATAAAAACTCCATGTCAAAAGTATCGATTATAAATATATATTGGCCGAATAACTTGTCTGGGTAATCTTTATATGATTACAAATATATTATTCATATTATACCTCAACTATTCGCGAGATATAAAAAGCACAGGTGTTAACAAATGCATAACATTCAGTAACACATAAACAAAGCGTTGAAATGAAAACAATTCTTAGTGGCAATTCTCAAATCAAATGTTAAATATTAATATTTTGTAACATTAAAATGAATACTTCAAGGAAACGCTATTTGAAAATTATTCATATTTTTAAATGAATAAACTAAAATTGATTAACATGAATGGTACTTCATCAGTCTTGTAAAATATTCTAATAAAAATATTTCAATACTTTATTTGCATTTTTATGGTATTCTTAAAAAAATATGTATTCGATTACATGTATACTGAATACTTATTTTAGTTTCTTATTTTATAAATAACCTAATCCTTCAATTAAACTTATCAAACGTAGGATTGTCTAGTGCTCAATTATCTTGGCATGAATTTTTTCATTTTAATAAAATATATTTAATATAAATATATAATGTACAAGTTATATATTGTATATATATATATATATAATATGTATTTACAAATTTTATTTTATTTTAAATATTGTCATAGTAATTGAAACATATTTTAAGTATCCAAATTATATTTTGAATGTATATTTTTATTGACATTCGAATCATATTCTTTTTAATAGTTTTTTTTGGAATACTTATTCTGAATAAAAAAGAAGAATTGCTAATTGATTATTTATAATTTAAAATTTCATTTTTTCCAAATATTATATATACATATATATAGAAAAATGATATAAAAACAGTATATTAATAGTAAATTCTTAGTGAGTGCTGTTATCTCATTATCACTTTCTCGTGATTTAATGTTAATAATTTGTTTTTAAGGGTAAGGAATATTTAAAATAATTTTAATTCCAACGGAAACAAAAATTACTTATATTAATGGCTAATTTACTAATAAATTAGTCGAATTGAGTAGATATATAAATATTTGTAGCTTAAATCGCAAAGCCGTATAATTGGATTAATACAGGCCCGGAAAGACTTGGTGATTTACTGAATTTTCCCAGTAGGCTCCTTTGACTTGGGGTCCCTCATAAATATATGGTTATACATTTTATGATTGTTATAAGATATAAGATGATAACAATTTACATTGCACGATATGTTATTAATATTGAAATGTTAGTTTGTTTTCTACGTTTGGTTAAATAAATTATTTTAATATTTAATGTTTTTGTTATAGAAAAAATTGTGTTTAAAATTAAATGTTTTGTCTTAATATATATATTTTTTAATTAATAATGGATTTAAATCCTTTCAGTAAATGATGGCGATCTTTGAATTTTTTTGTACGTGTATAATTTTTTTTTAAATTTGCTTAAACAACAATGCAAAACTAAATAAAAATTCTAACTTCTTTTTATTAATATTTTAACAATTAGCGATTCAGAATAAAATTTGTTTGAGCAAAATTAAAAAAAATCATCGAAGGTCCTGTTTTATGTATGATTGGTTTCTCAAGTAAAATTCTTAGAGTAATTCTTTTCCTAATTCTGTTGTGAATCAATACTTTTAAAAATTAATTGGCATATATACATTAATAACTAAGTGTAAATACATAATTTGCATTTGCTAAACTACAAGGGGTTATACAATTTGTTAGTCTTGGCTTGGTTTTATCAAGTTAATTGAAAAACAATTTATCAAAATGAGCGACATTACATATTAGGGGGCAAACGTCCACTCTCTCTAAAGTGTAGTAATTTATGATCAATTAGCAATTGATATTTCATTTTTAAGTATTATAAGTCTTCATTTAGCAATTTTATCGCATAATATGTATATTATATTAGTGTTTATTGAATAAAGTATTATCCAACTCACCAATCTTATCTTTAACAACTTATGTCTATTAATAAACACGTACTCTTATATTCAATGCAAGTTTATCATTGATCATTGGTGTTGAAGATTTTTATTAACATATATCAAAAAAAATAAGAATAAATTTATGGCCTATTGAAACAGATTATTGCTACCTATGGTGTTAAGAAATCCAAATTTTTATACTATCTTAAAATGTAAACAGTTGATTGAATAAAAAAAATGATACGACAAAATGGTTTATTTTTTTTTCTAATACATTATCAAATTAAAAATAAGGATTCCTATTTAAAAAAATTAAAATTAAGTTTTTTTATCCCCATGAGAAATGAAAAAAGAAAAATTTAATTAATTATTTATATTGAGAGGTATATTTTTTAAGAGAAAATATAATTTGTTGATTAGGTTAAATGGAACATTTAATTTTACTCGTGTGAAAAGTATAAAATTAATACTTTATTTATTAAAAATTATTTATACGCTTATTTAATTCTAAACCCTCGACATTATTGTAGAGATTTTTGAACCAAAAAAATTTTTTCGTTACAAAAAATTAAAATTTACGATAGTTCCTGAAAAAGTTTATGAATGTCTTATCCAAAATCTTTCACATTGTATGTTATGAATAAACTTTTTCAAATATTGTCATGCACTAGATATATTCACAACATTTTTTAATTTTTTAAGAATTTATACACTACAATATTTATCTATATATAAATGTTTTGAACGTGAATTTGAGTTAATTATTATCGTTAATTCTAATAATCTAGATACTCGTGATACTTATTTTCCTATTATTAGGTTATTTAATTATATAATATTATTAAAGAGTTTTAAAATAAATAAGTAGATTAACTTTGAGGAGCTACATAATATTAGCTAGGATATTTTGAAATATAAATTTTAAGCTTTTTAATCATTTACGAAAATAAATATAACATTTTTTGGGTTACTACATAATTAAAATTAAATTATGGTCGTACACATACTTAAAATATTTGTTCAATATTAGACTATTATTGTTAATAAGAATTGTATTAAATATTCAAAGACGTTAAATAGTCAATCGAGTAAATAGTTTACATACCTAATTATATCACTAATTGATATTTTTTATGACTTTCATTTAGTTGTGTGATACCTTTAAAATAAAATTGTAGTCAAATTTTCATATATTTATAATCAATTATCTAATAGAAATTTTAGGGTCGGTTATAAATTTTGTACATGTGCACTGGAAGACATACATTAAAAACAGGTAAATTATTAGAAAATAATAGTTTTATATTAGTAGTATGTCTTCCATGTATCAACCAAATATAGGCTTAAATATAGTTTTGTTTGATTTAGCTGAGCTCTCTATTTTCCAGTAAAAAATTTCTTTGTAATAATATAAAGGAAATATAGTGACACATAAAATGTAGATAATATAGTAGATCAATGGTGCAATTAGTGGTGTTGGAACTTACTTTTTATAATATGTATATGATGTTATACATGTATTTGTCTAAAGAGAAAATAAATAATTTTCTTAATAAAATTTGTTTAGCACAAAAAACGTTTCCAAAAATTTTTGATAGATCGACAGAAATGTTAAGACATTGTTATGACAAAATGTTAAGTGACATGCGCAGGTGTACCGCGCTACATGACTAGAATGAAGTACCCATAGGTACAGTTTGTTTATTCATTCATGTAGAATAAAATGTAAAAAATTTTAATTAAAATATTAGAGCGAAATAATCATTGGATTAAAAATTACAAGAGTTGTTAGATAGATTTGTTTCATTCTGTATATACAGTGAGTCAAGTATCGTTTAATTACTTGTTCAAACATTTTTTTAATGTCAACTGTACTGAAAGGTTTGTAAGATAATGATAATTCCAGAGACTAATTATTTTTTCTAGACTATATTCGAATATAGTTCGCTATATATAGCGAGTCAAGTATATTTGACTCACTATATATAAACTATATACATTTATAACTGTTAAGTCTTAGAATTAAAATTAAAAAAAATAAAATATGTGTTCTACGAATTAGAGTTTAATATATAAAAATAATTCCTGGAACAGAGTTTTAAACTGAGAAATTTATTATGCTCGCTAAATATGACTTAAATAACTGTTTCAAAAAGAAAATGTTATTTCATCTACAATTATCTTTTTTTTTTTTAGAGCTGTATTTTCTATGATCATGAGTTCCTAATTTAGTTAATATTTATTTAGTGATGTATTTACATTTTGTGTAAACATTTTATAGTTCAAAAACAGTTGTTTCTTTTTTATGCAAATATTAATCTGTTTTTTCTAAACTAATATAATATTATACTATGCTTAAAATAAGCATTATCGGTGTTTAATGAACATAATATTAAAAACAAGTAATTTTTACAGTTACTCATTTTTTATGGATTAAAAAATATTTTCATAAATAATATTTGAATTATCGCGGGAATCAAAGTGGTCAATAGTGTTACATAGTTCATTTTTAAGGTTATGCGGTCGACACGGCGATCGGCATAGCGTGTTGTACACCGGTTGGCTGTCAGATTGAACCAATCATAGTTGTCCATCTGGCTGACTTCAAAAACCCTAAGTACGATAACTCCCGGCTGCCATCGTCGTCACTGGTAATTGAAAGCGCGTTCATTTATAACTCTTAGTAGTCTGTTTCTTTACTTTTCATTTTTAGGTTTTCTCGTGACCGCGTAGGTTAGAAGTTTAACTGGGGTAGTGTGGTGATTCTATTACAATTTGTCTTACAATAGTTTTAGTAATATAGGTGTGAACAATGAAAGTGTCGACTAATTTAGCACTTTGTGCTTTGCTATGTTTAGCTATTGTTAACGCGGAAATATACTTTGAGGAAAACTTCCCTGATGGTGAGTTTAAGTAAAAAAAATTATATATGAGTTTTATTTAAAATATAGTTTAAATCAATTTAATTATTATTTACAGACACCTGGGAATCTGAATGGACTTACTCTGAACACCCAGGAAAAGAGTTTGGAAAATTTAAACATAGTTCTGGTGCATTCTATAATGATGCCGAAGCTGATAAAGGTATCCAAACATCTCAAGATGCTCGATTTTATGCTGTTTCCAGAAAATTCCAGCCGTTTAGCAATGAAGGCAAAAACTTAGTTATTCAGTACACTGTGAAACATGAACAAAACATTGATTGTGGTGGTGGCTATGTAAAATTGTTCAACTGTGCTCTTGAACCTAAAAAAATGCACGGTGAAACACCTTATGAAATTATGTTTGGTATGTATTTAAATACGTTTTCTTTTAAACTCATTTATGTTAAATAGATATTGATTTATTTTATAAATACCTTATTTATATTATACTTTTTTTGTTTTTATAATTAATTGTCTATTATTTTAGCAAGTCAAATATATATATATATATATATATATATNAATAATTTTTGTATTAATAAATGGTTTTTATAACGAGTAATTTTATACTAAGCTTAAAAATGTAAGGTCATTCTACCTTTATGTAGAATTATACTATTGTGATTGCTCTTACAATAGTATAAAAATATATATTGATCACCTTGTAGATAATATCATAAATTTATTTTTTGCTAAGTTAATTGCTGAAATAAATTATTGTTATATATATATATAAAAATAATAATTTATTTTTGATCATACTCTAAGTGTTTATTATATCAGCCTAAATTGTAATTTAAAATTATCATAAATCAAAATAATTTTGCTTGTTTTCTCAGTAATTTTTTTTATGTATATTTAAATTGAGTTTGTGTAGACCTTTTAGATATTTAAATATTTTAGGTAATATAACTCATTTTTTATTTGTATGTAGTTATAAATTTTAACTTGTTAATAAAAATGGATAAAAAATATAAAATCTACACTTATTAAGAATTTTTTTCATAAATATTAAAATAATTATAATAGTTATACAGTAAAATAATAATTAAGATTATTTTGTTGGTATTTTGTTTGTAATAAAATCATGTTATATAATTAATTTTATATTTTAACAATACAATATTTATAGTATAAAATATTTAATACTCTAAATGAAATTGTATATTTATTTTAATTTATTATTACTATTTCAGGACCTGATATTTGTGGACCTGGAACCAAAAAAGTACATGTTATCTTCAGTTACAATGATAAAAATTTGTTAATTAACAAAGATATTCGCTGTAGAGATGATGTCTATACACATGTCTATACACTTATTGTGAAACCTGACAATACCTATGAAGTTTTAATTGACAATGAAAAAGTTGAATCTGGTGAACTAGAAGCTGATTGGGAGTTTTTAGCACCCAAAAAAATTAAGGATCCTAATGCTAAGAAACCAGAAGATTGGGATGAAAGGCCAACTATTGATGATCCAAATGATGAGAAACCAGAAGACTGGGATAAGCCCGAGCATATTCCTGACCCTGCTGCAACTAAACCAGAAGATTGGGATGATGAAATGGATGGTGAATGGGAACCTGGAATGATAGATAATCCTGAGTTTAAAGGTGAATGGAAACCCAAGCAGATTGATAATCCCAATTATAAGGTAATTTTCAAATAATCCAAATTATTAATAAAATAAATTAAAAATAATTTTTGTTATCTCAATTTTTTTTTCAGGGAGTTTGGGTACACCCTGAAATTGATAACCCAGAATACAAACCAGATGATAAATTATATTCTAGAAAAGAAATATGTGCTATTGGTTTTGATTTGTGGCAAGTTAAATCTGGTACCATATTCAACAATATTCTAATCACTGATGATATTGAATTGGCTAAAGAAAAGGCAAATTCAATTTGGAAGCCTAGATTTGTAAGATAAAATAATAATAAAATGTTTAAATTAAATAAACTTACTAAAAAAATTATTAATTTCAGGAGGGTGAAAAGAAAATGAAAGAAGCTCAAGATGAAGAAGAAAGAAAGAAAGAAGAACAAGAAGCTAAAAAGTCAGAAGACAATGCAGCTGATGAAGATGAGGATGAAGAAGATGAAGAACTTGCATCAAAATCTGAAGAGGCTCACGATGAGTTGTAAAAAAAAAAAATATATATAAGAAAAGACTGTTTTTAATGTCATTGTTTAAGTTGATATGATCATTATTATATTATATTATTTATTTGAGTTTTATCCGACCCAGTAAAGGACTGCCACGTTCTTATTTTTCCAATGTGCACTCTCATCTTCCATTTCTTTTTGTTTCAACCTAGTGTGTGATAACTTGTTAATTTCTTTTTCTTATTCCAAAATCACTCATGGTCTGGTCTTAAAGGTTTTTGAGGAAATATGTCAGCAGTCCTGCAAACTAAAAGAAACATTTTTATAATTAAATATATATATATAAATATATATATTTATGTATAAATATTTAGTCGTTTTTTTAGTACAATTCGTAATGTATTTTTTTTATGTATCAGAATTATCTTCTAAAATAGTATTATGGTTTATATTATAAATTTATACAATTACAGAGCAACTACACTACTTAAAATTTATACAATTTTATAATAAAAACTGTACAAATTATAAACTGCATAATTGAATATCATAACAAACCTTTCTGTTATTATAAGTATATCAAATTAATTTTGAATTTGTGAATAAATAGGGTATTTTAAACTGATCAAATATAGTAAGTGCTGTAATAATAAACAATAACAATATTTTTTTAATATTAAAATCATCACTATAATTTTCAAATTGCTATACCAAAATATTTAATAAGCAATACTTGTTATAACTATTTTAGCAATAAATTGTTATACTATCATAAAATATTAATTATTTATGTTCTTCAAAAAATTTATAATATTACTGGTAAATACAAAGCTTTTTTAATGTATATAAAAATGCAAACTAATGGAATCTATGTAAAGTATTAGTAATGTCAAAATTCAGTAATAAATTATTCGAGTATTTATTGACTTAAAGAGTTTGTGGAATACAGTGTTAAAAACAACCTTATTTCATGTAGTTACTTTGAGGCAGGCACGTAGACATGGGTGGGCCTGGCCCCCCTTAGATTTAATGTGGCCCAGGGTCGGCCCCCCCAAATTTAAAATTCAATTATTTTTACGAATTATCAATAACGTACTAGGCCTTATATACATTAAAATTATTACTAATTTGTGATTAAACACTACAGATTTCCATCGAAGCGTTTCTTATGATAGTGATTTTAATCACTGTCAGATTAAATCTGTACTGGACCCAACTATGCCACGTCCCCACTGTGCCACGACCTCACTGTGCTGGGTTTTTTTTTATATTTATCTGTTTAGTACCATCAGCCATACTCAATGACTGTCTGAAAAAATCATCTATTGTTTTTTTTATTATAAACTTTCACAAAAATCAACCATAAAGCATTAACAAAATAGGTTAAATATGTCATTTTTCATATTTTTAACATATTAATAATTAAAATCAGTATTAATTTAAAACAATTTTTTGTTATGTCAATACTTATTTTTTAATAATAAGTAATTCTATCAAAACTTAGAAGTGATAGAAAAAGACTAATTGGAGATTTAAAAAGAGCGCGAAAAGTTGAAAAAGAAAAGTATATTTTTGTTTATTATAATTTCTTTGCAGAATAATGGTAATTAGTATAAACCAATAGTACTTAGGGGTGGTAATTAAGGGGTATACTAAAAGAGTAGTTAGGGAGATATATTAATTAAGGGGAATATTAAAAGAGTAGTTAGGGGGAAATATGTAATTAAGGGGGTATTTTTATAAATTTGTAGATTCTGTAATTTTTAATTAATAAAATATATAGTGTTATATGACTATATTTTTTTGTATCTGTGAACGCTCAATCTCAGCTCTCGCTGGACCGATTTTGATGAACATAACATCAAAAAATCACAAATCGCATCTAGTAAGACATTACCTTCAAAAATTGAAAACGTTTCTCTCGTACCCTGTAAATTTCCCCCATTTACAGGGTACGATCCTCCAAAAAATTACAAATGTAAAAATCGCTAATTTTTGACATTTTAAAATTTTTTTTACTTAAAACTACATTAAATTTCTAAAAATGGCCGAATCTATATAAAATTTTTTATAGATGCATGATGTCTTTACATTTCATTTGGTATATTTTTTTTATAAATCTGATTTTTTACCTGTCTACAGAGGGAATTCAAAATGACAATTTTTTTTACAAAAAATTAACTTTTTCAACTTAAATTTTGAAAGTGTTCCGGAAAGTCTGACACTTTTATATATATCTTAAATTAAAGCTAATGTAATTTACTTTATTATGCGAAAAAAAAATTTTGGACTTTATTTTATCTTCACGGTGAAAATGGCTACTGAATGCTATTATTGTGTGAAAATTCTCGATTTTATTTTTTTAATTTTTAACTTTATAATGCTATAACTTATTGAAAAGCGTATGGATCAACACAATTTTTCTATGAGAAATACTATTTTTTAATAATCTCTTTTTCATTCGACATACTTTATCTTAATCGAGATATTAATAAGGAACTAGCAGATTATGTAGCTTTTGGAATAATCCATCAATTTTTTAAAATTAAATACTATCTAAAGATTTGCATCGAAGAGTTTTTTTTTTTGATAGTGATTTTAATCACTGTCAGATATCATTATACTTGATCCAACTATGCCACGTCACCACTGTGCTGGGTTTTTTATAATACTGTAATAATTAGTATACTTTATACGAAAACAATTTGTTTTTAACCAACCAATGGTAAAATTTTGAACTTGTAAGATTCATAGAATGGGATACTGTCTAAGGAGGAGTGGAGGGAGCCCCCCCCAAAGCTTTTCATGGGAAACAAATTATGGAAAATGATACAAGGGCCCAAAATTGTTGGCCCCTCCAATAAATATTTTCTGGCTACGTGCCTGCTTTGAGAGGATATTGTACTGATAATATTGACTTAGAATATTGTAGAGGACAAGCTTATAATAACTGTAAGAACATGGTCAGGCAGTTCAAATGAATTCAGAACAAAATTTATAAATTGTGTACGGTCTGCCTCTCTGAGAGATTTGAACATTCGATTTTATTTAAACATTTACTATTTACAATAAATGAGTTCAAAACTTGGGATTTATATGACAATTAAAGTTTGAGTGTTATATAAACTATTCTAAATACTTAAGTAGAGTTTGATGTAAATAATTATTTGTATTGTAAAATTAGAGTTATATTAATTTTACATACTAATTTATTAACTACAGTTTCTTAAAAAATAATAATAAAGTTAAAATATTTCTTAAAATTGATCAGTGATAACTTATTTATTTTGTTTACAGTTAATGAGCAAGATAAAGCAATGAATTTCGAAAATGTTTAAGGTAAAGCAGATATTAGAGATAATTTTACCACACCTGTGGGTATATAACAATTAGCTTTATTGTAGGTGATCACGAATTGATATATTTTAGGTTGGTTAATTCTATTAAGCAAAAAGCCTATTACTGAAACTTAGATGGTATATTTTTTAAAGTATGCTTAAAATTTATTTGTTCAGATCTCGAGTTTTGTCTTAGTGTCGATTTCAAGTTGTGAATCTTTTGAATTAGTGAATATTTATTTATTTATTTATTTGGAATATTAAAAATAAGCACTCAACAATTTTAACAAAACTATTTATAAAAAGGTAAGTTAAAAACTGATTGCAATTATACTTAAACGAAAAAAACAAAAATATTTGCTTTATATTTATAAAAAAGTGATTAATATATTATACTATCATTATGTTTTAAATCTTAATCATATTTTAATAGTATAATGCCATTTTATCCACACGGTAGTTGAATAATTTTATTTTTATTTTATTGATATAATCTCTCAACATAGTCATTTTTTTGTAAATAATAAGGCAATTAGTAATTTAATAAGTTTTTATTTTAATTAATAACTTCTGTATTGGGTAAAATATTAAATTAATTGTCATATGTTAAGTTTTACTCTTTAGTTTTATTAGGATTATTTCAAGAAAGTCTTTTGGATGATCATGTTTTAGTAAAATTGTAAGTCACGTATAAAAATTAGTCATAATGAGGGCCTAAGTTCCAACACCAGTTGGGAAGTACAGACCCCATTGAATTATTTGAGTTGTACCTATTAGATTAATATATTTTAGTTTCGATGCGAAGCTCAGAAGGTATTGGTTTTACTATGATGCGTTTTTTTTTTGTGTCTGTTACCACTTTTTCTCAGCTCTCACCAAACGGATTTCTTTCAACGATACGTCAAAAGATCACAAATCGTATCTAGTCGAAGACATTACCCTTAAAAATTGAAAAAATTTCCCTCGTTCCCCGTAAATGGGGGAACCTCCAAAAAAATTACAAATTTAAAAATCGCTAATTTTCGAAATTTTTTCAATTTTTTTTACTAAAAACTGCCGTAACTTTTTCAAAAATGAACATATCAATATAATTTTTTTTTTTATATATGCTTGATGTCTTTACCTATCATTTTGTATATATTTTTTGTAAATCTGACACTTCACATGCCCACAGGGGGGGATTTAAAATGACAACTTTTTTACAAAAAATTAACTTTTTCAACTTAACTTTTGAAAATGTTCCGGAAGGTCTGACACTTTTATATATATCTTAAATTAAAGCTAATGTAATATACTTAATTATGAAAAAAAATAAATTGACCTCTGGACTTGTCTTCGTGGTGAAAATGGCTACCGACTGCTATTTTCGTGTGAAAATTCTTGATTTTATTTTTTACATTTTTAACTTTTTAATGCTATAACTTATTGAAAAATGTTTGGATCAACACAATTTTTTTATGAGAAATAATACTGTTTAATAATCCCTTTTTCATTCAGGATATTAATAAGAAAATAGCAGATCATGTAGCATTTGGAATAATCCACCAATTTTTTAAAATTAAACACTATCTAAAGATTTGCATCGAAGCGTTTTTTTTTTTATAGTAATTTTAATCACTATCAGATATCATTATACTTGATCCAACTATGCCACATCACCACTGTGCCGCGACCCCCCTGTGCTGGGTTTTTTTATTTATTCATGTGACCACACATTAATAAAACATATCAGACCTTACAAAAATAGAAAACAAATTTTTTTATAGACTATTTTTGGACACAATTTTAAAATATTTTATAATATAGTTATAATATATAATTTATATAATTATATAAATATATTTTATCCAGTTGAAATGTTTGAATTGAAACACTATACTTGAACATACAAGATTTTAAGTTCAAGATTTTGTTTCGGTTAAATGAAAAAAATTGTTAGCTTTTTTTTTACCATTCCTATTACCTTTTTTAAATGTGCAGCACTTAATAAATAAATCGTTCAGCTACAAAAATACGTAAATTTATTTAGTTATAATTTGTCAAGAAATGGTAAAATTACAAAAAAAAAATTTTCCTACACACGTTTTTTTGCAAATGGACGGCTCATATATTAATTATACATTTAATATTTTTTAAAACTTGCGCTGTGCAAGTCCCATCGTTGACCCTAATTCACATCTTTAAATACAACATATATTTAATGTTACTCATTATTCAGTTTTTTATTATTATTTTTTGTGTAATTTTAAAATAATGATCTGAACTATGTTACCACCTATTAATTATTATTTTTTGATAGCTAAGTAACACTATTTCATTAAAATCAACACCAAACGTGCTCGATGGCTCCACGAGATGACGCTGCTATTGTGCATCGTACTCGAGTAGCTGCAATCACTGCCGGTCAGCCCCACTACGGCTTTCACCAACAATCAACCCATTCGGTTGTGTACTCACACACGCCGGGCCATCGTCATCATCAGCAGGAGTAGCAGCAGCAGTAGCCGTAGCGGTAGTGTATCACCCGTTGGACCGTAAGTTTGACGTTGCTCTGTAGTTGAATTCGCGAATTACGTTACATCTTACCGTAACAGTACTGAACGTGTTAATTGGTGTACGGTTACAATTTCATCATCATGTGCCGGATTTTCCGCGAACAGTCGTCGAGTCCATCTTGACTGTAATTCTCTGTAACGCGTGTGAAGTGGACGGCCAGCAGGAGAGAGAGAACAGAGACAGACTGCGCTTAGAAACGAATCACACTCGGGTGAGTACTAGATTTTTTATGCGATTACTTGAAAATCACGACGAAACGGTGTCGGACGAAAATGATTGGCGATTTGTTTTATAATAATATTAAATACCAGTCGATTGAAGCGCGTATAATGTTGAGCCATGGGAACCGGTATTCTTGGTCGTGATTAGTTCGCGGCACCCTAAGGCCTGAGCGAGTGTGGCTGTGCTCTTGGCCAAGACAAAGAGGCCAGGCGGACGATGTGATATCGTGTAAAGAGGACCGTTTGGCAACAATGGACACCGCACATAGATAGATATGGCCAGTAGAAAATTGTAGATTTACTGACCATGCGTATTGTTCTGCTAACACGATTATACAAAAAACTTATCGTGAGCATCGATACGACTTTGTTAAACCGAAAAAAATAAATATATTCGTATTGTAATCACTCAAATTTCGGTCGATTTTCTCAGAATTCTATAAAAATTAAATATTTTAGTTCATATTGAATACTCTTACGAGAGAAGTTCAAGACCGACAACGCCACCGAGTCACAACTCCAAGAGGCGCATTTACCTTCTGATTTCCCTTAAACATCACAAGTTCAACATAAAGCTCGGGAGAGGTTATGCTTGACTTGCCTCCCAATAAATGCTCACGGTTGCATATGTTTATATAAGTGATATGCTAATTGTGTGCAACCTCCTCGTTTTGGTCCTATTTTCAGTTTTAATAAAAAATAATAATATGACATCTGATCTGAAGTTATGAGTACATCATGACCTCAGATCAGATACTAGTAAGTAGAAGAAAGACGCGTTTAGAGCGACTCCTTTTGTCGGGGATAAGTTTAAAAATGTAAAAAGACTTAAAAAAAAAAACACCGAGAGAGATATACACTGTTTTATATTATAAGAACCAAACCGTGGTGTTATTTATGAACTTCAATTGTTGATAATAGTCGAAAAACTGTTATGAATTTACATATTTACAAAAGGCAATGAGTGACTAGACAAGATACGAATAAGTTAACCCATTAGTTTAACCGGCGCAGAACGTGTGTGTGTGTGTGTGTGAGTTATTCAGAATTACTAAACATTATTTCAAAAACAAATTTTTTTGTTAATTATTAATTACAGTTGTACCTTTAAAAAATATTCTACTCGGTATACTTCCGTTTCCATGCTATCCATAAATTCGACGTTTCCTTTAATTTATTTAAAGGAAACGCCAAAAACTGTGTATAAATTAGAATTATTGTGTTGGAAAACTACTACTTTGATCTTAACGTCAAATTCGGATAAACCGGTTTTCTAGTGTACAGTTTTTTTTTAATCGATACAATATTAAATAATACAATATTCAATTGTATATGAAAAACTCATGTTGCCATACCGTTCTTCATATGGTTTTTAGAATGAACGTACCGACATAACATGTTAGATTGATTGTTAACAATTTTTTTTATCGCTGGCTGTTGATGAAAAAATAATTTTAATTTATAATTATTACAATTTTTAATGGATACGTGTTTAATGGAGTCTGTTATTAAAAATCATCTAGTGTTTGTTTAAACAACCGTTGTTCAAGTATGAGATTATTCCAGTTGCTTCTTGACAATATAACAAAAGACCCGTCTTTATGGGAGTCATTTTTTTGTGTAAGACTACCTGTATAGTTCTTATTAATTTGTATTTAAATACATCGAATAAAATAAACGCCGTGAGTTGCATTAATTTTCTCTGTTCCATAATTGGAGTAATGAAAGTTGCTTTGGACACTTCAGACCATGATTCTCATTTTTTAGCGTTATCTCCCGAGTACCGGAGATTCCTATTTTGATAACTCTAAACAAGTGGAAATGTTTTAAAATATTTTATCTATCGATAACAATTTAAAGAGTTTGGAGAATACACGATAGCCCCATTTTTTAAAACTTTTCAAAACAAAACTACTGGAGATTTTTGTATACGAGTCCACTGAATAAAACAAATTCAAAACGTGTTATTTTCGTTAGGAATCATTTATATTTTCTAACTACTAGAGTAAAAATATATATATTTAATAGAATCTCATTAAAACAGTAAAAACTGAAAAGTCATAATGGGTTTACCTTAATTCAATGAACTTTATAAATAGAAGTTTTTGTGATAGTCAAATTAATGTTAGGTCGTTGACCATTTACTAAAGTTGACACTCGGGCAATACATACTAATCCAGAGTTTTGGAACTTTGTGTACAAACGTAGTTGACAAAAAAAAAAAAATGTTTTTATTATTTAAAAACTAGTTGAGAGCCTCATAAAATATTTCGCCGTGCCAGTAACTATTGAATATATTAAAAAATAAACATTGTGGACATTTCACACACATACTGAAAAGGGACTTTAAATTAATATTTTTCAATAATTTAACAAACGAATATTTGTCGAGATGTTTGCTTATTGTAAGTGAACGTTTTGAGCCCGTTATTTCCATTTATTCATTCTTTATTGTCGACCAATACATTTTCTACCGTACTCGTTAAAAGTTATTTTTCAGTACCTGCAACCCTCGAGTTTTTACCGATAAATCAAACAATCATGACTGTACAGGTAATTACAGACAAGTTTACCGTTCAAATGTGTTTAAAAAGTTTCGCGCTCGGCGACCGGAATATAGTTTCCGGTTACAGAATGCCAACATCCTGTACCTTCGAATTCGTCTGTAGACAGTGCGTATAATACAACGAATACCTGTAATTTTCCGGAATCGTCGAGCATCGCATTGTTGTTTATTTATACTTTTACATAATCATACAGTGATTATGTAAATCAACGAAGCATCGGTCGCTGAATTTTCAAGAATTTTTATGAATAAATTACGCATAAAATGTTCGCCGGTCGTTCTTCGATTCATATTACTCAGTCGACACGTTTGTTCAACAAACAGAAAAATTGAACCGAACACGACTTTGATATTTTTACAAGAAAATAATTTTATTCTTAGGGCGCACGACTCAAAGAGTAAAATTATTCACAGTTGTGTAACATCAACGATTAAAAAATAAGTAACGCGCAAGTACGCGGCCAAGTTGTAGCTGACCCGAACAGGAATTCATACCGGAAACCGAATACACGTGTTTTACAAAAAAATTAAAACAACGTTGATTTTTCGGTTCTATTTCGGAGACATCTTTGCACGCGATCGACGCACATCAACAGACCGTGAAAGTGTAAGAATAATTAACGGTAAATATTCACGGAGATTGCGAGTCGTCGTAAGCCACGACGATGTTTCTCAGTTGGATTTCCGCGTTTCTCGAAAATCGCACAACGTCGTGTTTCGCATAGGTAAAGTGGTAATCCTCGGGCGATTTAAAAGTCGCGCAAGGCGTTCGCCGGTTGTGGTCGCCACGAGTGATCGAATCCCGACAAACAATGCATCCGCCGATTGATCCGAGCGCGGTGTGCCTAACGCCGCGGTTCTCTCTACAGGAATCAGGAATGCTTTGAATGCGGCGCGGTGAATGAGACGATGAATTAGTGCAATCAAGGGCTCATTGTAGTGTCGTGCCTAACAGAAATCGACAGCGCGTTGTTGTTGTTGTTGTTATTTGTGGAAACCCCAAAAGCGATTTCACGGCGAGAACGGATGATACGCGTAAGCGCGTTTTCGACGGTTTCCTCGACGGTGCTAAACACACAATGACCGTGTAACAGTGACCCAACAACATACAGTGTAATTTTGCATACGGCCGATTCGCTTTCACCGCCCTCGCACCGCTCGGTGTTGGCGAGTTAACCGACAGCGATTTTCCATCGTAACGCGTTGATGGATGGAGTCCATTATTTCTACATGTGCGTACCGCCGGTGGTACTCATAAATCGAAACCAAAATTTGTGTAACGTGACACTATTGTAAAAAGCAGGGCCGGCCCCACGCGACACTCCGAGCGACATACGGACGCCTCGGGTGAGTGCGACCAACGCATAGCCGTCCCGAAGGAAAACTTTACTGTGTACGCGGCGCGTGGCAAATCTCAACGAAACGAACAAAACAAACGAAAAATAAATAAACACGCTCGGCCGTTATTTTTTCGCCGCCGGTGGACAATGTTGACGACCGTATACGAGGCCCGAGGTGATAAAAAGCGACCGGGCCGTTACCCTCTCCGGCGGTTTCCGTTAATCCGAATTTACATTTTTTATTCCGCCGATATAATCGCTTCGAATTATAATCATCGTACAATTATTCGTTGAACTGTGCCAAAACAATTTTGACGCGATACAGCCAATCCAATTATGTAAATGTAAAAGAAATCGTACGAATACGACTGCTCCAATCGGATTTTTTAACGTTGCAAAGCGTTTCTCGAAAATCAGTCGGCGCCTATTTGAACGGTACGAGTGTTTGGTGTTGTGTGTGTGCGCAGAAGAGGAAAGAAGCTGAACGTTGCGCTCTTGTTGCCCCGAGATGAACGAATCGTATCACTCCAACGACAAACACCGTACCTATTTACGACACGACTAATTTAGGAACTACGGTTTTTGACGACGTTGGGTTAATAGAGAAAAACGGCGTACCTACATCTATGTGGATAAATAGATAGCTGCAGGCGCTGTCGTTCATTGAAACGTACAGAAGAGGCGTGAATGAACTATATCTCATTGTGGTGTTGTCCAGGGAAGGTATTTCGGTGGGGTGGTTAATGAGGATAGTCTAGACTTGTGGAGCGATACACTCGAGTGTAACAATAAACGGCACCTTTGGTCAAGAAATGAAATAATATAATGACATTCAAGGCGCTGCCAACGTCGACTAGCCGTCGTCATTCATCAAACACAAACCGTACAAAGACCAAAACGAAAAAGGATTCTTACTGTTATTATTTTGAATTTAATTTCATTATTATTATTATTATTATGGTAAAGGTCGTACGCGTGACTCATGGCTTCCACGATGACTATCTTCGACCACAATTTTTCAAATTCAAGGTGTAACCTATCGACAATAATCTTACAAATACATTAAATGTCGTCGTTTTTATGG